AACGACATATCGACCATTTGTCACTTGTCTATTCTGCTGACATGAAAATCCTTGATAACATTATAAAAATGAAAGGGAGTTTTTTTCTTACCCCTTAGCGCGTCAACGGTACAAATATCGTATGTCTACGCTACATGATCTATGGTCGTGGATTATTATATACTCTGTACTACACGGGAATGACAGTTTATGAGGGTCTCGCGCCATTTTTACTTGTCAATTACTTTTATTTGTAATTTTCTCGTCTATGGATTTTGTTTGTGAATTATAATAGTATAATTTAAAAAAAAAATACAATTTTATTTATAATTTTTACCAATTAATGATCCTTAATTGATCGTTGTAGGTTGATAGGTTTGATATTTCCCGAGTATTTACTGGATTTTTTATCTCGATTAATCAATATGAGAAACTTTTGGCTGATGGTATAATTTTTTTTTTTTTATAAGTGTACGACTATAGGATAATTATATCATTAGACAATACGAACTGTGTGGGTAGCAGTGTGCACGGCTAAATATTAATTGAGATTTGTTCTCAGGCTTTCACTGAGCGAAAAAGTGAACTCTCGACAAGGGAATGTTTAGATCACTTCGGCATACTCCGACACTTCATTAGTTGTCTTGCGGATAATTATTTATAGACTATTGTATACTGTAAATAATTCTTAATATGTTAGTTCATTAGTGGAGTAGAAAACGTACACGGCGCAACTTCACCGACTTCAAAAAGAAGGTCCTCAATTCGGTTTTTTTTTTATGCTCGTCACTTCATATATCCGTAGTTACAAAAATATTTGGAATATTCTTTTTTTACCTACGAGTATATCCTTTCAAATAACTTTTATATTCGTCCCGTAGAAATTTTATCAAAATCAGTAGTTTTTAAATCAAAATAATTGGTTTTGCCACAAAAATACAAATCTTAAATTATGCGTGACACCGGAATTAACATACAGACAGACAATTTTTCAAAAATACTGTTTTCTGGCATCTATTGTCTTACTGATCTCCTCATATTATTTTTTCTCAAATATCTCCCATGTACAGATTTCTAGTCTAGTTAAAATATTACTATATTAGTTTAAAATGTAAATGTTAACGTATTTATAAACGTTTCTGGAACATTCCGAGGCAAACATTCAAATTGCAATACACAGACTCAATAACCGTATGTTTACGATAGCTCGCGAGTTACGGCCGCACCCAATCGATAACGCGCCGTGAATTTGTTAAGAAATCGCATTTTTCGCGACGCATCAAGCGACTTCCAAAAGAAAGAGGTGCCTACCCGACTCTTAACGAATCCTTCCGAAATTGGGAGATTGACATTAAATATATAACTGTGTTATGTAATAACGACGTCAATCCTGAGCCGATTTGCACAATTCTTTTTTTAATCAAGAGATTTATTCCCTTATTAAATTTGTGACGATAGAAGTTACGAGTACCATTTTTATTTGTGTAGCAAAAACTGCTTGATGCAAAAATTACTAAGCAAAGTCAAATAGGACTTGTAGACACGCGATTCCGTATTCTAAATAAAAAACACGAAAAGACAGCCTCATTTTTTTAATCAGTTGAGATTTATGCACCAAAATTGGATATTAAATGGTCTTCCCAAGATCGATAAAAACTGGTGGATGTCTAATCTAGATACGCCATCTAAAAGTGGCCGATTTCATTGTTTTACTACTTCTGAAATACACGGGTACAAAAGACTTGTTTCAAATATAATACGAATGTCTCTAAATTAATTCCCGTCCGAGTCATCCAACCAGATTTTTCATAAAACAAAATATAAATTTTTTTTAATACAACTTAGAATGGCAAACAAGCTGACAGCCCACCTGATGGAAAGTGGTAACCGTCGCCTATAGTAGCATGGACATAACAGAGTACTGTTTCGTCCATAATACTCTCCATGCGTTGCCATTCCTGAGGACTCAGGTGTTAGTCCTCTGTACCCTGTAAATTCACGCCATAACCCACCCTTGAAACCGAAACACAGCCATGCAAACATAACTGCTTTACGGTTAAAACACGAATGGCACAGAGGTACCCAAACAATCTACTTTTGTACAAAGTCTCCCTCTGGGAGATGTTAAATTTATACTTTAAAAAAAACGATTCTTTCTCTACATATACGTTACTCTATTTCTTATAACACAAAGCGTATCCAGTTTGAGAAGCAGGTAGGAGAGATTAGTAGCAATACGGGCATCCGGAATCGTTTAGATCGGGTAAAAATGGTTCCGGACTACAATCGTTGTACGAACGGGCCTTTGAATTTTTCCCACGTGATACGCGGGGGCGGTCTGGAACGGATTTTTATTCGGAAACCTCTCGAACATGCTCTGCTTTCGGAACGAGGGAATTTCGGATAATTATTATTATCCAATCCTTGTCTATATAAATAAAATTGAATTGCTGAATATATGTATAGGAATCACTTCAGATGGGTCGCATCATTTTGCCTAATTATTTTCTTTTGTCATGTTTATAGTTGTCAGGAAAATGTTTGAAAAATCCTACAGAAAAAACACCCGTGCGAAGCAGAGTGGAGGGGTGGGGTGGGGAGGGGGGGGGGGGTTCTACGCTCAGTCACCAACTTCACAAGATGAAAAAGGCACCTTTGGAGAAATAATTTTATTATACGTACAAAACATATTACATATAATAAGAGAGAAAACTTTATGATAAACTCTCAGTAGGTAACATCTGGCGCGGTGTATTATTCAGACCTCGTCGCTTCGGAATTACCATGTCTACCATTAGTAGGTTACATACATATAATATGTACACATATTATGAAAAAAAAAAAGGTACCGGCTAACCTAATTGTAATGTTTCGTGTGTACTCTTTCTTTAACCACATTATTTGCATTTACCAGTAAATAATTTTATAATCATCATCAACAATTTCAGCCACCATTCGTCCACAGCTGGACATAAGCCGCCCCCCCCCCCCAATAGACTGCAATAAAAACGGAAAGAACAGTCGGTCACTCCATCTAGTGGGGGGTCGTCCTAAACTGCGTTTGCCCATACGCGGTCTCCATTCAATTGATAATAATAATTATGAATTAAACAGTAGGCAATGACGTACAATCAATTAATATGAAAATGTTAATGTTGGAGATACATCATAATAAAAGTGTAAAAAACATTTCTTACTCTGCTAAATCGTCAATGACCATTAGTTGGGGCTTTGATGTCATTGTGACGGTAAATCGCATAAACATCCATTATATTGGCCTAATGTATTATCAGATATTAGGGTGACCTTGATACAATTACAGTCCAGACAATATCACAAGTTCTGAAATAGTTGAACGACCGCGCGATGGAAAGTCGCTGGGGAAACAAGCAATAAGAGTCGAATACTTGAACGTAGCGTTGCTATCCGCTCGGATAAAGTTGAACAGTGTTAGAATTTTGACCTCTCTTCAGGCAAAATTAGCGACGGCCTCAACTTGGTTTTTGTTGGTCTCTTCATATCTATCATTTCGAACCACACACAACTCACCTTTACGTTGGGTGAACGTTAATAATAGAAACTAGGGGCCCCATTATAATCCCATTGCTAGCAATATACCTAACCAGGTCGACCTCCACGCGGTTCCCCATGGGAATGACAGTTCCAGATTAATTCTTCATGATGAATTCATCATGGTAGGCTAACTGGCCTGTTTTCATTCTCATCGATCACCCTTCACTGGTGCTCCGCCAGCGTATCCCGTTAGCGCAGGCGGGGTAACCAATCCATTTTTATCCAACAAAAAAAAAAGGCCCCATTGCTGGAAACCATCGTGATGAATTCCAGATATGTTGATCAGTATGCCCATACTATACATAACTGACCTGCCTTTCTAACCTATCACCAGTCACTGATGTCCGCGAGTGTATACCAGTAATGTACCATTCCATCATCACCCATTAAAGGAAAACCCTTACGCGTGCTGCCCGCTCACTTAGAAGCCAAAGTCCAGCTTTTTTTTTATTTTTAGAGATTGCAACGCTGTTTACGTACAATAGTCCAAAATCTAATTCAGTCCAGACTGGCAATTTTTCAAATTTGTTTGGACCTTTTAAATTACGAAATACAGAAACACAAAATCATATTTTCTACGGAATCGTGACCAAAGCTACGAGCGTATCTAATGTCTGCGAAATCCAGAAAACTCAAAACTAATTACCATAATGCAGTAAAAATATTAGCCGAAGCCTCTTATTCTAAGAAAATGTAATTCGGTTTTAAGAGAAAAAATTGTTTTCCTCGCTTACGGGGGATTAGAGTTTGTAGAGCAGAAAGAATGACTAATGATGCTGGATCGAATCTTTTTTCACAATAAGGGTGGCGTGATTACGCCCCATGTTACATGACAAATATGTCGATGCAGACTATGAACGCTGCGACACTGGAAGGCAATACTTGCTCGTTATGGATCCTTGTGGCATGAACGTTCGAGTCCTAGTATCTAATAAATTCACTGTCATAACTTACCATTCAAACTGGAATCAACATGCAACGGAGCACGTTGCTCTAGAGTAGAAATAGACAGGACATTTTCATATTAACTGACAGTAAACTAAAGTACGCCAAGACAAGATAAATGGCAAAATTTGTCCGTAGCGTAAGCTAATAAAATGAACGAGACACTGAAAGTTGCAGTTTCGTTTAATCTCATGGACGCGGTAGCGGTAACGTATCTACCGACAGATTTGTTTGTCACTGTATAAGGGTCTATATTTTTTATTATAAAATGTAGATTGGTGAACAAGCTGACAGCCCACCTATGGAATGGATGGTGACATCCGCCTATAAACATGAACAGTATCATGGGGACATAACAGACTGTACTGTGGTAGCCATGGCACTGCTCCTGCCCCTCATGCGTTGCCATTCCTAAGTATTAAGGTAATATGCCTCCGTATCCTGTAATTCCACTGTCATATATGCAACTTATAGAAATAACTATATATAGTATATGTACGCACTTTTGTCTCTTCCTTCTGTTCGATTGAGGAGATAATCCTCCAGGAGGCGCGACGGGCGCCAATAACGTTCTTGTAGGCGACTGAGAGCAGGTTGCGCTCCTCCACCGTCAGCTCGTTGTCAGATACGTTGCGAGACGCCACGTTCTTCATTGCCTCCACCATTTCTGTAATATACATTACATTAGATATGATCGCCGGCGTTAGTTTTTAGAGAGCTCACGCTGCTTTGAAGATAATCACTCAGGGCAAAAAATTGGTGATGGTATCTAGGGACCTCATTTACTAGTTTTGTATTAATGAGTGAAAATGGAATAGTTATCCCCCGCCTCGCTATCGGTATACGCAGACCAGTAATCATAGGTGAGGATGAAAGCAGGTCAGTTGGTCCATAGTAATGAATTTAACAAGAATTATCCACTTTCGTTTCCAGGTAGGTAAAACTGCGTAGAGGTCGATCTGATAGGGTATATTGCGAATAATAGGGCTGTTAGACCTCATCACTAACAAATCCCTTTCCTATGACTACTACTATCAGATTTAGCGCAGAGATACGCGAATTTTACGATGCAAATCATCGTAGTTCTTTTTTTTAATGATTTCGTTTACCTTATTAATACCTTACTTATCATCACTCACTGGTATTTCTCAAATGAATACCAATTGAGAGGGTGGAGTTACCTTCAATTTGCGTATTTAAAATATAAGTATTGACTACGAAACTAAAGTCAGCCCTTTCATCCACGGGATGCAGTAAGAGGCGCCTAGACGAACAAAGCACAAGTGCAAGATAAAGAACACTTAAAATCCTAGTATGTTCATATTCTCTTAGAAAATAAATCCGTAATCAGTTCCAACTGTCATTACAACTATAAGCTAATAACCTCAATCGGAGGAAAGGAATTGTTAGTAATGCTGACTACCAGTCCCTTTGCTAATAACCCTATCAGGTCGACCTCTCCGTGATCACCTGAAAACCATCGGTTCTGAACTCCAGGTGTATTTATCAAAATGGGCTAACTGACCCGGCCTTTCATTCGCAATTATCATTTCTCGCCAGCGTATACGGTTAGCACAGGCAGGATTACCATTCCATTAAAAATTTCAATGATCAGTACCCAAATGCTATATACTTTTTGTGTTACTGTACTTTTGACTAGCTACTTTTTCAATCAACTTTTTATACCACAAAACCTTGGCTGTAAACAAACCTTCGAAAGTTCCGGATGTACATCAACTAGGACTTATTGGGCATCTTCGAGTAGCGATGTTTATACAAATTAACTTAGTACACATTTTACATAAGCGAAACTACGAGCAAGTGCATTGACTGCGGGCTTTTGAGGTTAGAAATTTCATGCCAAACACTACATCCGTGAAAGACTTGAATCGCTGCGGTTTCTAACAGATTTGCAGGGTCAGGGGGGACGAGAAAAATAACAAACAAGCCACATACAAATAAATGGTACATCCGGCGTCAATCAGTATTTAATGTATTTTTAAATAGTAAAAAAATAAAAGTAATATCTATACCGCAGTAGATGGTAGTAACAAAAGCATACGTCAGGTTAATGTATAGAAACATCGTCCCTGAAATGAGACCTCATTTAAAGGGGTGTACACGATGGGTTTTCTGACAAATGATATTTAAATTGTAGCCAAGAACAGCTCAACATTTATAGTTTTATTTATTCAATATACATTGTGTCTAAATAAAATTTCATTTGCCTAAAAAGCTTATGTAATTTTTAGTAACATTCTTTTCATGGGTATTCAATATTCCATCTAGTGGAAGTTATCTTACAATGTAGGGAATTGTCACTAAGAGGTTAGAGTCCTTTATTCTACTGGTTGCTGGCTCCTAAACTATATCTATGACCGAGTAACTGTCACTAACAGCCTGCTGAGAGGACAGAAGGGATTGTTAGTAATGGAGATTAGCAATCCTATTGCTAGCAATATACCCTATTGGGTCGACCTCCACGCGATTCCCCCTGGAAACTATCGCGATTTATTTATTGTTGAATTCATCAGGATGGGCCAACTCACTGCTTTATCGTCCTCTATCATCTCCCACTGGTGCCCCGCCCGTGTATATCGATAGCGCAGGCGGGGTTCCCATTCCATTATCATCCATTAAAAAAACCCAGCTTGCTTAGTTTTCGTTGCACAAAATGGAATAACAAACTCAGGGCCCACATGATTAAAAATGATAACAGTCACCTATAGACAGGAACAGCACTACTCATGCGTTGCCATTGCTGGGGACTATACATACGTATCCTATAATTTCTATAGATAGATAGATAAACACTGTTTATTGTTTCCTCCAAAAGATTACAATAGTAAACTTATTATAGATATAAACAATTACAAATAATAAATTATTTGATTCTATCATCACTCTTTCGTTCCACTAGGCAGCCAATCACCTGTCACATTCAATAGCATACTATACTCGTAGGAACGTCCTTCCTTATATCGTGTACAGTGTAAAACTATGTTTCAACTAAGCAATTGTAAAAATGTATTTATTATCAAAGTATGATTGTGTAAAAACAAAATTTTACATCGATTCCTACACTTGAGTCAATCGTTCCTTTACAGTACAGTAACTGTTTACCTATTATTTTAATTCATCACCGATAACACACATACGATAATGAACAATACATTATCGATCACTAATAACACTGTTATATATATATTTAGTGATCAATGCAATATTATCGTAAAATATGTAATCGGTCGATGTCTGTACACATACATACAGTTTAAAGAGAGAGAGAGAGAGAGAGAGGGGGGGGGGGGGTTCATAAGTTATGTATCTATTTCTCAATAACGTATTCTTAATTAACATCACGGTTTCCCAATGCGCTCATTAAAACTCGATTAACACTAATTAATATTATTATTATTACTAATTATATTAAAAGCAACAATTAATTGACGCTTCGTAAAACATTATAGATTTACAACGCCTATTATTTGTCTGCCTACATGTAATCAAACTACTTTCAAATAATATATGGTTTTCACATTTATACTACAACAAAACCTTAGTGAGAAATATGGGTTTTAAAAACTAATACGTGAATATATTTCCATGTTATGCACCATTCAAAACTTCAAATATTTACGGTAAAGGTTCCTAAGTCACTTCTCAGTCCTTATTACTTACCGGATCACGAACAAAGTCATGGCCAGAGGCTAGCATTATACAACGTACTATCTCTGAAAATACATTTACTACTATCTCTGTAGTAGGCGTGAAGATAAGTAGATTATTACTGTATCGAGAACCAAGTTCCGATTATGTATCCCTATCAATATCGTTTGTAGAATGGCCGACATGCGTTGCAAAACTTGCAAGCCTATTTGATTCGGACGCCATCTTTGAACGTTTTGTCAGAAGTCCTCAACGTGAAGTAAGCCCCTAATCCCATCCATAATGCCCAATAATAAATGCACACACACACGTTGAATCCTTTCACGACTAGGACGAGATTTCACGTTTAAACCTGGAACGAGTAGTCGGTCGTATTTCTAGCAAGCAATTTTCCCGTCAGATTACGCGATTCACCTTGGACAACATTCCAGTCAATTCGTTACGGCGGATTTACTATAACCTCCACGCGGTACACTCTTGGTTAATTAAAGATGAAGTTGTCGCGAAAGTTTTTTAATGGGTGAAGATGGAATGGTATGCCCGTTTGCGTGCGTCCCGTGCTGACGGGGTATCAATGAAGGATGACAAGTGAGGACGAAGGCAGGTCCATAGTAATCAATTAACAAGAATTAACCACTATGGTCTCCAGGGGGAACCGCGTGGAGGTTGTCGCGAGACGTTAACTGCTCTGAATTCTTCGCCATGTATCAATATCATCCCCTACTGGTGTATATCGCTAGCGTAAATTAGTAGCTCGTTAACATTTAATTTACATCGATTAAAACTACACGCAAAAGGCAGTAAGTAGTAATGTTTCAATTCGATCGGAGGAACGACGCGTATACGCATTTAGAAGGCGAACATAAAAAAATCCAAACCAATCGATCAATGTACAACCCTAAAACAGCAGAGTTCAAAATTTATGTTTTTCTTTATACCTTACGGGTCAACTAAAAATTTTCAAAGTTCTCGTGCGAAAAATACATTTGTTTTTATCTGCGACTTGATCCGTGCGACCAAGGTATGTTGATTGATCGGAGAAAAAGTAACCAAGCCCTTCTCCGTCTTAAATGGTGTAGCATATGTGTATAGCAAGCAAATAGCATCAAAATCGTAAAATGTAAAAAAAAAAAATGCGAAAGCTCGCAACGCAGATCTTGATCTACGAAAAATTGTTTGGTCTCATTACATGTAAAACCAAGTCAGTTATTTTTAGTCTTTAGTAGTCTTTTTTTCAGTTATTTTTAGTTTGTTTATGTAATCCCCTGTACCTTAACCTATCAATTACCTATCTCAACGTTTACAGAGAACGTATCAATATTAGATATTTATTTCTATAATAAAAAAAAAACTAACTTCTTGTTTATTGACAATGAAAGTACAGGGCGTAAAAATGCTGTAAGTGGCTTGCAAAAGAACGGCTATGCTCGACTCGGCGAGGGCGCTGCCATGCCTCCATTTTATGACAATTGGTTGAGCAGTTAAGGCGTCAAAAGGTCAGAAACTCACTTCAGATTTATCATATTAGTAAGGATTGGATACCAAATTAATAAATTCGCTTACTCAGTATTATGTTTCATGTATCATTTATAATGATCGTTTAACTGTATAAACGTTTGATAAAAAAATACTTAGAATTCATTCACTGCAATGACTAATATCCTTCAGAGACGAGGACTAGTCACTTATCCTCCTTTCGAAACGGATGTGACGTAAAATAGATAGCTGCAATTAGGATGCACTAATTATTGCACGCACAGACACGGGACATTATGTCCGCGGACTATTTCTCTTTGTTTACCTTATTATCCGACGTTATTAAATCCGACCAGAGATAATGCTTGTCGTAAATTTTCGTCTGACCATAATAAGACCCTTTAAATTACATACACGTAGCGTTGTGAAAATATAAGGTTTATATAAAGAAAAATTTCATACTCAGTAAAATGTGCTTAGTTTGTGTTGTTTATAACAATTATCAATTGTTTATTTATTGTATTGTAAATATTGTTAACAAATTACGTATAGGATAAAATATCAATAAGAGTCGCACAAAGAGCCATGCAGCGCGTCATATTATGTATTCACTAGTGTACACACACGTCTAGATTTGACGTAGAGTCAAGGTCGAGGATGTGAGTAAGCGAAACCGAGTCATAAAGCAAGAATGAGCAGAACACTGGGCTAGGAAAGAAGACAACCGGTGGATTTATTACGTATCTGAATTGACACCGACAGGAATAAGCAGCGAACTCTAAGAGTGACACTTGCCTGAATTAGGCCAACCATAAGAGAGAATCAGAGAACTAGGTAGATTACCAATGATAATAGACGGAAAGGGGGAGGGAGGGGGGGATTAGTAATGGGCACTATGGAGCCCCATTAGAAGTAGCAATATACGAGATAATATGCAAATGTATAGTATGCAACAATCAACAATTAAGTTTAGTGTACCACAAAAAAAAAACTACGTCAATTGTCGTAAAACCAGTTATTTTGTTTTGAAAACTGGACTATTAAAACCACTTTTGAGGCATTTCCTTTCAATAAAAGAATAGTTTTCCTAATTTTTAATTGATAGAGATATGAAACAAATAAAAAAAAAAAAATACAACTAAGTGGAGAATCCCCTTTTTAAGACAATTGAAGAAGTCTTGACTCGATTTTTCACTCGACATGGCCTATCCCAAAGTGGGCGATAACGCCCCCTTGTGGGCGCTGCAAGCTCAAAGGATGGCCGGTAAGAGAACTAGAAAAAAAAAGTGGGCGTTGTGTAGAGGCTTGGTGGGTGATTTGTTGATCTTAAAATAACAGTGGCTTTTAAGTAGATGAAAAATTGGGGGCGTTAAAAAATAATTTATTCTCACTGGGCAGTAGACAAAATAAGTAAGGGAACCCCCGGTTTAGCATAATACCTTTATGTGTCTACGCACAACGGCCCAAATGAGAGGCTAAGCGCGGAAACGAGAGTCCAATCTACATACCTTTATGTGATTTTTAATTATCATCAAATCAGTTTCTTTTGTGCATGGTGGTGTTTTATGTTTACCAATTAACTTGCTCAGGCATCAGCTGCTCATAGAATTAAGAGGACAAATACTTAAAGGATTAATTAAATGTTTAGTACAGAATAATTAAACCTTTTCCCTGAAAGTAATTAAAATGCAACCATGATTTTATGTAATTTATTACATTTACTTATTACGTTTAGAGGGAAACCCCATTGTTTATTAACCTTAAAAAGGGAAGTTTCTCTAAATATTACTTTTTTAATTACACAATTCTTTGCAATTTCATAACATTTTAATATGACCTCATACATATAGTTAAATGTAGCAATGAAAGGATTTCATTAAAATTGCATTTATTTACTTAATAAATCAATTAAAGCTTGATCTACATCTAGGAAATAAAATTTGAAAGTTATATACATTTTGAAGATATATTATTTACAAATTTAATCCACTTCCAATGTAAAAAAATCTATCTTAATATATTCTATAGCATTATTACATCTTCATTCTATGTATCACTTTCAAAATATATTACTATAAAAGCCTGTACATTCACAAGTCTTAGATTTAACCACTAAAATCTTAGATTTACAACCATGAGTTAATTTTTTTTTAAATGACAAAGGTGGCGAACAAGCACATAGCCGATCTGATGGTAAACAGTCACTGTGGCCTATTAAATGTAAATAAAGGATTTTATAAAAAAAAAAAATCTAGCTTTCACAAAACCAAACCTAACATCTTTCTGACCACACAACACCACAAAAGAAATATTTCTTATTATTGTATCTATTTTGGACATGTACAGTATCTCAGTACTTTTTAGTAGACTTTTACAATAACAGACATAATATTTAAACATGTTTAGTTTGTAGTAGTATTCAGGTTTGTTTTGGTGAAGGCCTTTTTTTTTAATAAAATTAGTAAATTATTAGATTTCCTAGTTAAATCTAAGATCTACCAATATACAGGCTTTTAGAGTAACATATATAAACAATTAGAGCAATCTACCTACAAAACTTGTCATATTCTTGTATTCAAACTAAGGAATATGTTCCTGAAGCCTACCCGAGTTACCTATATGCATGGTCTATAATAGGTACTTTTAAGGTTATACTCCATTTTATGGGGGTATACCCACATAATTTTTATATATTTAGCTTCCAGTCAAAAATCTTTCTTCTCTACTGGTTAAGCTTGAATTGTGTAGCCAATCTCTTATTACAAATATCTAATGTCATTAAATCTGTGAAGATATTTGGATGATTCCTAATTAGGCTAAAATAGGGTAATTCATAAATAATAAATTTGGTAGTTAAATTAATCACAACCTAAATTTACAAATAGAATTCTCCTCTTCAATTGAGTAAGCAAAGCTGCAAATCACAGCTAGTGTTCAATAAACCAGAAAATGAAATTGTTCATTCATTCGTTATCAATCTCACGAGTACAGTCTAAATAAATTTAATTAGTGCAATGAATCAATCTACTGCAAATTCAATTAAAGTTTAATTTCCTTGCATTTTTCCAAATTATATTCCTAAAGAACATCAGTTACAGATATACCTAAAAAAAAAAGTTAACTATAAAATAACATTTTTATCATATACCTTCAAAATATTTTGAAATAATTTACTCCCTCGTTTATATATGAAAAATAACTGTCATCAGAAAGTGCAGCTATAGTCAGCCCCTTTGCCAATTATGAATTAAATAAAAACATGAAGAATATGGATGGACATGTTACCTTCAGTAAAATTGTTCGATTTTATGGAGGCATTAGGAGGTACTGTATGCATACTGATGTAACTTACACTGAATTACTATAATAGTTGTTAGTACACACATAAAACCTCCATCAAATGTTTCTCTTTCATCCATTCATGTCTTCAATTGTCATTGATAATGAGAAACATAGAAAATTATGTTATTAAATTCAATGAAGACTATTGGATACAATATTCTAAAATTCTGTGATGAAATAATTTACTGCATTAGACCTTGTCACACTTTATTTATAACATGTTGCAAGAAGTAATGTTGATTTTATCACAAGGATTTTATATTATGCATCATAATTAGATAGCAATAAAATTAAATTGCTTTCCTGAATATTTTTGGTACATTTACCTGCAAATTACAAATTAATCTCAGCAGATCTATAGCTATGCATATTGGGCAACACAACAAAAAATATAATGAAAGCAGGTCAGACTTGATTCACAAAGTCTGGCAGATATTCTAGACCATACTTGAGTTTTCAGTTTCTGGGTCAATAGATATTCTCAAGAATATTACACATTGTATGAAGTGATGCAGCTCTTTATGAATGCTGTTCACCCAATTTGAACTGAATTGAAACAGCTTTATAACATTTCATGCATAAATAATTAGTATATAAAGAGGTACATTGTAGATTTGGGTCAGCAGTCATTTAATAATTGTCATTATATGACCTAATTAACTGTGACTCTCCCTTCTAATACATGAATTATTAATTATATACTTTTCATAATTAAAGACAAAGAAATAATGAAAAAATTTCTTTACAGTAATTTTTCTATTATAAAAAAGGCAGGGCAAGTCCATCTGTTAGGCTATGAGTGATTTTAGTTAATTTCGCGACCTAAGTTCAATGAACTAGACGTTGGTTCAATGTGAAGGATAAACTAGTGGCACACGGCCCACATCACTATCAGTGAGAGTGAGATTTATCTCGAGATAATTCACGACACAATGAGTGCATTATCTACATTCAATGATGTACATGATAATATTCCGTATTCACAGGTAGCTCTACCCGTCGTGCTAAACTGCGAACAATAGGTGAAACCAAAGAGGCGTCGCCACTAATTCGTGCTTCCTAGCAACTCTGGAACGTTCCACCAGCTGCAACAGATTGATTTGCCTAAAGTACGACATGCATGAATGACCTCCGACAACATCGATCGTACTCGAGCTCTGAGGCACGAGATATTAAGGAGACAATTTTTCATTTTAGAAAACGTAGTTTATGCACAGAAACGAAGACAGGTGTGTAATTAAATACCAAATTCTAATGTAGTTCCATCGTAATCTTTTTACAGTATAATGTACGTCTTTTCATTACTTCAAATATTACAAAAAACTGAAAGGGCATCTCCCACCGGCGGATGACGCATCGATCGCTGACCAAGCCTAACGAATGCCATTGATTTATTAAATTTCCGATAAAGTATTACAAATTGAGGGCAATACTATAGTTGTATGCCTGAAATATGTAGTTGGAAGGAGGTTCTAGACATTTTAGACTAAAATTTTATAAGTCTATCACTAAATCGTCTTTCAACTGTCGGCGAAAATAGGATACAATTTTCATCCCGATACAGAGAATATTTGCGAAAATATGTACTTACCGTCATAGCGCTCAGCCTGCTCAGCTAGCTTGGCTTTATACACATTATCTTCCCTTTCCGACATTGTGGATGACAAATGATTTTTCACTAACTAAAAACGAATGGCCAGGTCACTAATTCACCAAGATGGCCGCGCCCGCCAAGCGAATCCGAATTCGATCTTCAACTAAACTCCGCCCATGACGTCATAGAAATGGCAACTTCCGTTGATATATTGTTGCCATAACAAATATTAAAAAAAAATCAATGAACAAGATATTTTCCTTTTTAGACATATTCTACACCTTTTGTGCCATACATATAGAATAAATTTAAACTTAATTCGTTAAATTTTTATTAAATTACTTAGATTAATAAACAACCTATTGAAAGTAGCATTTTTGATAATTACTATAAGTAAACAAGCAGTAGTCTTATTATCTTGCAAAATTTTCTAATTAAAGATTTCTTTATGTTTTGTATTAAATGATAATCAATTTAGTAATAACAGACTACTACATATAAATCTATTCCTTAACATAAAATATTAGTGTCGAGTATATATAACTTATTAGCTTTCACCCGCGACTTCATCTGTGTGACCGGGATATTTTCATTGGCCGGGATAGATTGTAAGCTATGTTCTTTTTTATTTTAAATATATAGTGTGAGGAGTATGTTAAATTTCATAACAATCGGTTAAGCTATTAAGTACCACCAGTAGGTAACTAAAAGGGAGTAGTGTAGCATAAACGAGATTGATTTAAATTGACCATTTACGGAGCCGTAAATTAATCGTTTAACAAGTACGTCCATACTCATTTATATTTTACCCCACAGACATATTCTATCACTAGCTAATGCACGCGACTTTGTATTTATTATTACTTTGATTAACATTTTTAATCTTCTTATTGTAGTGAACTACTGATACGATTATAAAATAAAAGAAAATAGTTCTAACTTACGACTTTTAAAAAACGACACTAAACTTACTTTAATTGTATTACAAGAACATGGTATATAACCTTGAACTGATGTATCGATGTACATATTTACCTATTTATTATGTCTGAGAATACTGGATTAAAATTAATAAATGACGTGTCGTTCTCACTCTTTGTCTTAGGTCAAAATTACTGAAGTACATAGGCTGTGTACTAAGCTATATAAGTTATTATAGTTTTTAAACTATCCTACGGGAGTCCTTTAATTTTCAGTGGTTAAAAGTATTTAAAATGTTGACCGGGGATGCAAGGTACCGTCATACAAAATTTCATTTAAATCGATCCAACAGTTTCAGAGATTAGCCTGTACAAATAGAAAGAAACAAAAATTTTTTAAAAATCTGCATCTGTTCTATTTCACTTCTAACATCCCCCAGACTCGGTTTATAGTTATTTTTTTCTATGTACAGACATTCGACCACTACAGTTTTATTATACGTATAGATTTATAAATAAAATATGTATAGATTTATAAATTAAACAGGCGTGACAAATATGTATCTATGTATGTATTATAAGTCAAAGTTGGACTCTAAGAAGAAAGATTTTTGATTATACTGTTCTGGGTTAATTAAAAAAGGTGTTTATTATTTTATTTTCAAGGAAAACAAAATACAAGTTTATAATGGCGGCGCAGATGAGAGAGAAAGATAGAAACTATAGTGTCTTCCCTGATATACAATTCTTAGTAGTGTGGCCATTACAAGAAATCCAACCTGGTCCAGTAAAATTACTAAAGGAATTTAATGGGCTAGGAATAGACAGCAATGTTCCTCTTAAAATATCACTAAAGCTTAACTGCTTATGTCAATCCGCATCCCAAGCATAACTATTGGTTAAACCTCTTAATAGAAGGAGATCTATCTTATGTATTAATTCTTAGCATGTAACAATTTAGAGAATTTTTTATCGAGATAACAATGTTACAATAAAACATTTTTTTTTAATTAATAACAGATTTTATTTATTTATTTAATTCTTTATTGTACAAGAAATATAAAAATATACAATGATAATTGAATAATTCAAGTGAAATACAGTAACATAAAACAGATTGAAATACATAAATAAAGGTACAAAAGGCAATTTTATCGCCAGGGCAATCTCTTTGAGACGACCTTTGGTTAAAGAATAACATATAGAAGGGGGTAGGTGGCGCAATAATTTTTCGTGCATAAAATATAAAAACTAATATTGCACAAAAATATTAAATACGTATAATTTAATGCGTATAATTAAACTATTTATTATAATATATGTATATTGTTACCAAATTATCTGCATTCCCTTTAAGGGAATATAGTAATACATTGTATTTTGTTTTCGGCAATCTGCTAATATCACTGTGCATGCAGTGATATTATTTCAAGAAAAATTTGGTGTTCACGTAAATCGGACTCCATGCCTACCGTAATTATACATCACGTAATGAGTTGGATAAAGGTATTCAATGACCTTTAACTGCGCTGGGATTTTTAATTTATGCAGTAATTTGAAAGACTTAATTTATGATGAAACCAGATATGATATTGCAAATGTGGATCAATAAAAATCGCGAATCACACATACATTGAACAAAATATAACAGTAAAACGGACTCGTTATTACAAGTGCAAAGAAACTACGTAAACGCGCGTACATTTGTGTTAAAAATAACGTGAATTAATGCAACACTTTGTTTAGTGTAAATAATAGTGTAAACAAAGAAGTGTGTTGTAAATAAGGAGATGAACTTTAAATACGCCAAGTCATTGTAATACGCTTTGCAGTTACCACCATCCCTTTTTTAGTAACTAAATAGCTGACATAAAGTCTCATTTTTTTAAAATAACTCAATAAACAGGCGCGTAAAGATGTTACACTAATTTGACTGTAATACGCAATAATTTGTGTTGTGGAAGTTCACCACCTCTTTTTTATGTGACTAAATACATTTACGTTAGTAAGTAACGATTTTAGTAGGTTTATTAGTAAGTTACGATTGCAAGATCAGAATATCAGTGGTTTTAGTGAACAGCTGATGTTTGGTTTGTGACACGCTGTTGCAACGTTACGCTAATACTGACGGAGTGAGCGCGAGCACAATGTGATAGAGAAAAATGTAATTATGAGGACGTTTTAAATGTAATGGAGAAATTTAAGTATTTATATTTTCTTTTTTTTTAAATAATTTCATACTACTTATACATGAAATTCCTTTTATGCCCTGTATGTAGATAATTTGGTAACACCTTACACACACACACACACACATATATATATATATATATATATATATATATATATATATATATATATATATATATAAGCAGTTGTGTTTGCATGGCTGTGTTTCGGTTTGAAGAGTGGGATATATTGTGAATTTACTGGGTACAGAGAAATAACACCTGATTCCTCAGGAATGGCAACGCATGGGGGGTATCATTGGCGAAACAGTACACTCTGTTATGTCCATGGTATTGCTCATGTCTATAGGCGACGGTTACCACTTTCCATCAGGTGGGCCGTCAGCTTGTTTGCCATTCTAAGTTGTATAAAAAAAAAGAAGTAGTTTCTGTTTATTTTTTTTTTCATGACTAAATGTTGAAAAAAAGAAGGAATGTTGTTTTGTAATAGTGTAAAAAAATATTTAGTAGAATTTAATTACATTGTATCAACTTAAATTTTCATCAAATTCTCTATCGTTTGGTCAACACTTTAAATGTCAAACTTTAAACGTCATTTCGTTCCTCCGGGCGGCCATTTTCATAAACGAATCCGTTTTATTTATTTCGTTTAGAACTCGCTTTATGCATTTTGTCTTTAATTAATACATGTTATACGGCTATTCTTTACATAAATTCAAGTATATTGTTTGTTTTATTAATTCTTATATGACAATGTATCCTTAAATCGTACAGTATACTGAATAGTAGGGCTTTTTTCATGTGTTCACATCTATTTTTTATATTTACAAATTTTAGTTCCCTGTGGCTACCTTAATATTTATAACTTGTACTCATTTTGAGGCGCAACAATGTCTAACGTTGGTTATGACTTAGATACATCGGGCGGATTGATGCCGGTTTGTTACTTTATCAACTTTTTATTGAACTAAAAATCGTGTGCTTGTATAGGAATGGCGCCATTTTATATTAATTCTTATTGTATTTGTCAGGATGCAAATAAATTCTCTATGATATGTCTGTGATGCTTTTTAGCTCATACGGGCGCTTATAAAGCCGCCGGATGAAGACTTGAATGTCCAAAAGTCAAAGAAGTCTCAACATCCATACTATAAGAGGCCAGGCAAAGGTCACAACCATGACTCCTGCGATGCTTGTGGAGAGGGCGGCGATCTCATATGCTGTGACCGCTGTCCAGCTAGTTTCCATCTTGGATGCTAGTGAGTGGTTTATATGCTTGAATAATATAGATTTTTTTTAATGAATAGTAATGGAATGTTAGTCCCGCTTATGCTAACTGTATACATTTAGTGGGGCACTAGTAAGCGATCATAGGTGAGGATGAAAGCAGAGGGCCTACCATGAAATGTTTTCCAAAATTTCGGAGCCAAACGAAACAGAAATTTGATGTTAAAATTACGTAATACATACCGTTTGGAAATATTAAAAATGTTAAAATATTGTTCCTTTGGACTTTTATGATAGGATGTATGACGAACGAAATGTTAAACTCCATTTATTGGTCCGATTTTGGTATAAACAAAAACACGAAATTGAGTCCGAATTTTCGTTATTTCATTTCATGGTAGACCCGCAGGTCAGTTGGGCCATTGTGACAAATTCATAAAGAATTCACTAAGTTGGTTTGTTTGGACTGTATGGAGGTAGACCCGATAGAGTACATTGCTAGCAATGGAGCAGCTAGTTCCATTACTAATAATCCCTTCTTATATAGAAAGTGGCCATCTCCTATGTGTAATGTAGCTATTCTGTATAACTACCTGCAGTTTATTATAATACTACACTCCTCGCAAAAATTAAAGGAACATAAAAATTTTTGAAATTTTTGGGTAATTTTCAACAGGCTGTATTTCAGTGAAAAATAATCATACAGGAAATTTAAAAAAAGGGTTTTGAAGCTTGAAAACTCTAGTTTTCAGATTTTTTGGTGAAAAAATTTTTTAATTTTTTAAACTTCTTTCGAATTTTCAAAAAAAAATTTTTCTTAAAAATTTTCTTGATTTTTTTCGATATTTTTTTATAATGAATTTTTAAAAAACAAAAAATTGATTAAAAAGTGAAAAACAAATGAAATTATTGATTTTTGAATGGATTAGGGTGAGTTTAAGGGACAAAAACCTTGTTCCCTTATTTTTTCCAAAATTTCAATATATATATATATATATATATATATATATATATATATATATATATATATATATATATATATCGGCGCCCGCTTGCTGTGCGACCAGTAGTTCCAGAGATATTAGCAGTTGAATGGAAAAGGATGCTTTTGCATTCAAAGTTCGATATCTCGGAGACAAATGGTCGTAATTGAGCCATCCAAAGCGATTTTTGAAGCTGAATAAACACGCTAAGAGACCTATACAATGGAGTAGCTCGAAAAAATTTTTCCATGCCCATAGAGTGAAAAACGAAACCTAGAAAATTAAAAAAAAAATTATTTTCAGCTTTGTTTAAGAATTGCATGGAAACCGGAGCTCAAAAATTTTTTTCACCAAAAAATCTGAAAACTAGAGTTTTCAAGCTTCAAAACCCTTTTTTTAAATTTCCTGTACGATTATTTTTCACTGAAATACAGCCTGTTGAAAATCACCCAAAAATTTCAAAAATTTTTATGTTCCCTTAATTTTTGCGAGGAGTGTATTTTATCATATAACAGATGAGTAAAGTATATGCAGTTGTATATAGATACTTTAAATGTCCCTCTATGATATTATAGACATATAAAATGTATGACAATCATGGTGTACATAGAAATATAAAAGTTGGATGTAAAAGATAAAAAGATTAAAAACTAGCTTTTTATAATTAACAGAATAACTGTATATATATATATATACATACATACATATCTGTCACGCCTGTCTCCCATTAGGGTAGGCAGAAACAATGGAACGCCAAATGCTTCGATTCAAACAAACCTCTTTCCCTTCTTCCACATTCATCAATCTTGTCATACACGCTCGTCGGTTACGGGTACTTTTAATTTGGCCCTTCTTCAGCACGTCGCCTATTTGGTCGACATACGTCCGTCTATACCGACATCTCCATTCATTCTTGCTCGATAAATAATTCTTCTTTCATATATATATATATATATATATATATATATATATATATATATATATCATACAAATGAATAATAATATAATAGTATTCATACAATTGCATACATTTTGTGTGAACGCAACTCAACCTTTTATATTGAACTTGAATGTTGACCAAATATATAAGTGCGCACAATATTTGCACTTTTTTTTTAATGGATGATAAAGGAATGGTAATCTCGCCCATGCTTATGGTATACACTGTAGTGGCACCAGTGAGCGATGACAGGTGATAATAAAAAGGCAGGTCAATTAGCCTATCGAGATCAATATACCTGGGATCCAGCATGATGGTTTTTAAAGGGGACCCAGTGGAGGTAGACCTGACAGGGTATATTGCTAGCAATGGGACTGGTAGTCCACATTAGTAACAATCCTTTCCTCCCCAATGTTTGCACTGGGAAGTGTTAAACTTTAGCTCATTTTAATTGAAAACAACATGTCTAGTCTAGTTTCTGTCTAAAATTGGGAGATAAAATATTTCATTTAATATAAATATTATATAATAAAATTTTTCATGTTGGGAGAAGTATTCACGTTCTCTTCTTTACTATTTAAATAATTTAACAATGAAATACTCATTTATTTTTATTTCTTTAATTCTTTGTTGTACACACCAGTTATAAGAATATAATAGAGGTAATCAAAAGTACAAAGGTGAGCTTAACTCTAACAGAGTTTTCTTCCAGTAATACCCAAAGTGGAAAGGAAAGGAGGAGATTTATTTTTTGCATATGTAAAATTTATGCAATTATTGTTTATACATATTCTAATTGTAGCATAGTAACTGTTTATATTATTCCTTCAGCTTTATCCAATCTCTTAATAATTCCAGTGACCCACCTTTGGATGAGAATGATATACCAGCTGGGTTGTGGCTGTGTCGGGAGTGTCGAGCCTCTGATGCCGAAAAGCCAGCTAGTTCACGCAGCAGCCGAGCACAGTCCCCTGCTGATAACAAATCTGACACAGAAAAGAGGACCAGGTGGGTTTTGTTATAGTGGTACAGTATAAAATCATTGAAAATCTGTTTATCACTGCTGTATCCTCTGTCTTCACCTTTGTGAATAATATGTAAAGTGTCCTATGTACACACATACCAAATATGATTTAAACTCATTAAATTCATTCAAAAGTTTTACATGAAGAGTAACAAACATCCATCCATTGTTACAAACTTTTTTTTTGATTGCAAAAGCAGATTATAAAGAATCTGAGCTGTTTTTAAATTATATTTTTTATCAAGTGGCATAGTAAAATTGTGACCAATTCTTTATTTGTCCTCATAGAAGTATCAAGCTACAATGTCTTAAATACATTTCTTGCTTCACCCATTTTTTATATCTTATACTATTATTGTAACTGTATTCTTCTATTTTCAACCGAATTAAAAAAAGAAGGTTCTCGATTTGGTTGTTTTTTTTTTTATAAATCCATTAGTTGTAAAGTGATCTGAAAAATACGTTTTTATCTGAAAAGATATACTTACAGATTGTTCCTATAGAAATTTTATCAAAATCAGTTCAGCAGTTTAGTTTTTGGATTAAAATAACTGGTTTTGAAGTTAGTTTTTCATTTGTGGTACACAATCTTAAATTATCAATTTGTTCTTTTTAATAAGCCATAAAACAACAGACAAAAACTAATTAATTAACATGTAGTATGTTGGAATCTTTTCTTCATAAACCATGGGTATAATATTAAATAAATATCTATGTGTAACAATTATACATTGCAGGTCCCTTCGTAACAACCGTACCAATTCCACAAAGAAAAAGGTCAAAGAAGAGGATGAAGAGGAAAAAAAGGAGCCAGAGAAGGAATTGACTCCGATGGAGGTTCTAGTGAAGGCGGCCAAGATTATGAACCCGAAACAATTTGAATTGCCAAGGGAGATGAGAATACCTTGCATATTTCCTGGGACTGATAAAGGTATTTCGAATTTAAATAAAATGTATCTTTTTTAATAGTGAGAACCCTGCCCTCAATAACTAATAAATGTGTTAGAGGGAGAAAAGGGATTGTTAGTAATGGAGACTAAAAATCCCATTGCTAGCAATATACCCAACCAGGTCGTCCTCCTTGCGGTTCCTCCTGGAAACTATCATGGTTAATTCCTGATGAATTCATCATGATGGGCTAACTGGCCTGTTTTCATTCTCATCAATCACCCTTCACTGGTGCTCCGCCAGTGTATCCCGTTAGTGCAGGAGGGGTTACCATACCATTTTCACCCATCACTAAATGTGTTTAGTATGTTGATTTATTTTACTAGCACATTTATTTCAGTGAAATATTTTGAATCCTTATTCTTAAAATATTATAATTTTAAAATGTAATGAGTGTTAATTTTATGCTCTCCTTCATACTCTCTCCTAAGTATGTGAAGATAATGCATGAGAAGTATTTTTTTAATGGGTGAAAATGGCATGGTAACCCCGCCTGCGCTATCAGTATACACTGGCGGAGTACCAGTAAGAGGAGATAGGTGAGGATGAAAAAGCAGGTTAGTTAGCTCATCCTGACGAATTTAATGATAAATTAGTCACGATAGTTTCCAGGGGGGTACCATGTGGAGGTCGACTTAATAAACCTATAGGGTATATTGATGGCAATTGGGACTAATCTCCCTATTACTAACAGTCCTTCCCCCCATATGAGAAGTATTATGATGTCTCAAGTATATTTTATCAAGTCCATGATCTTGTTAATGTATGTAGGTAACAGTTTTCACTTTCCAGAGGGTGCACTCTCATTTTGTAATTTCGAGTTGCATAAAAAATGTTTAAAATAAGAATACGACGTTTCCAGAAGGCAGCAAGAACGGCGGCGCGTCGCTGGTGACGGTGGACGCGTGGGGCTGCGTGCCGCTGCCCGCCAAGACCTGCTTCATATGCCAGGCCACCTGCAAGCTGGCGCCGCTGCTACAGTGCGACTATTGCCCCCTGCTCTTTCACCAGGTCATTTCATACTCACACGTTCATACTTATGGCCATTTCAGTGACTGTCTGCTTTGTTTGCCAGGCCATTTGAAAGCTGCTGTTGCTGCAGTGGATTAATCTTTTGGTTAAATGATAATAACTTTAAAATAGAAATATTTTAAGTTAGTATCAGAATTAACTAGTTATATTGGGGACCCATATTTAGTCTATGGATGATCCACAACAACCTTCAAACCGAAACACAAGTTTTGATTTGAAGAGTGGGATATGACAACGAAATTACAGGGTACAGAGGCATAACACATTGTCCTCAGGAATAGCAACGCAAGAAGGGTATCATGGGCAACACAGTATACGCTCTCACTTCAGTCATGTCCAGGACATTACTAAATCCAACGTTGTTATATATAACACTAGCTGTTGCTCGCGACTTCGTCAGCGTCAATTTCTGTTATTATGATAAGAAGTTTTCAAAAGAATATATTTTAAAGTACTTCTGTGTTGTTTAAATTATGTTGATAAAACTCTTTGGCAAATAATTGACAATAATGCATCAATTTCGAACAAATTTGATTACCATAAAAAAAGTTTACAGTGAGTCAATCCTAAAAGACAGACATATATCCTCCTGGGCTTTTTTTAGATCATTTGAAGAGGAATAATTCTTTCATACATATTTTTTGGTAACTTGAACCATTTACGCAGCACATACAATGGAAGCCCTCAAATATGAGTGATTTTCCCCGTTTTTGCAACATTTTTCATTGATGCTTTGCTTCTGTTGTTTGTAGCGTGATGTTTTATAGCCTATAGCCTTCCTCGATAAATGCACTATCCAACACAAAAATAATTATTCAAATCGAACCAGTAGTTCCGGAGATTAGCGCGTTCAAACAAATAAACTCTTCAGCTTTATAATATTAGCATAGATGATGAATAATTCATGTCTATAGACGACAGTCCATCAAGTGGTCCATCAGCTTGTTTGGCTTTTTAAGTTGCATAAAAGAATATACATATTCACAAATGATACAGCTAATTTTAATATAGGAATGTTGTTACAGGACTGTCTGGATCCACCTTTGACTGCTCTGCCCACTGGTCGGTGGATGTGTCCTAATCATGTCGAGCAGTACATCGTAAGTAATCATTATGTACATTTGCCCTGTGTGTCCCAGCATAGAAAGGGCTATCCCTTCTTTACCGTGAGTGTCGTAAGAGGCAACTAAGGGAGGACGAGGGATGACAACAACAGTGTCCCTCAAAGCTTAACTGTGGTTACCTGCCTGCCAAGTATGGCAACTATTGGTGAAACTCCTCCATGAGGGAGACTTATGTTCAGCAGTGGACAGTTAAAGGCTGATATGATGATGATTATGCACATCATCTTTAATCAATCAGTCATCATCTCTTGTACATAAAAAATACAATCCTCTATAAATTTATTTTAACTATTAGGACCATTTGTAATTTTCATTTAATTTTAGAGGTTATCCCAAAAGAGAAATACAGTAAACATATTTCTTGCAGGATTGGAAGCTAGTGAATTCAATATCGGCGACGGAGCGGGTGGCGCTATGGGAGAAGTTCACAGGACCTGTAGACCAGCATGCCATCAAGGTGGACTTCATCAGGCGTGCCAGAAATCCACATCCTCCTTTCAGGTTAGTATGGTCACAGATAATACTATACTAGTACAGATACATCATCTTGAACAAACAAGTGAAAAGCTCTAAGTAGTTTATTCTTCGGCTTAATTTTTATTTTTCATATGTTCGCTAAATGTTCGTCGTTTAATTACGGAGTTCCTATGGCCACTTTGCAACTCCATCATCAGACCCTGGTTACTATTTAGTATCAAAGTATTTGTCAAGACTAATTAAACGAGCCCAAACTCTATGAGGTTGCGTTGTTTGATTAAGGAGTTCCTATGGCCACCTTCCAGCTACAACATCAGATCCTGGTTACCATCTAGTATTAAAGTACTCGTCAAGACGAATTAAACGAACCCAAACTCGATGAGGTTGCGTCGTTTAATTACGGAGTTCCTATAGCCACCTTCCAGCTACAACATCAGATCCTGGTTCCCATCTAGTATCAAAGTACTTGCCAAGACGAATCAAATGAGCCCAAACTCACTGGGGTTGCATCATTTAATTACGAAGTTCCTCTATCATATTAATATTGCATTGTCATCTGATTTGTACTTGTCCAGAGTTCAGTTAGAACAAGCTAGGTCACAATTAAAATCGAAAAACAGAAATACACGTAGTCGCTTATTAATCACAATAACATGCCAACACAATGTAGGTAGATCTCTAGCCGCAGGGTTGCCATTAAAATAATTAGTTGTTACTCAAATATTAAATATTTTTTCTTTAAACCTAGAGAACTTTCTTCATTGTACTCAAGCACAAATTTGTATCAAGTTCTCTACATTTTGCCATGTAACCACAAAGAGAACGAGAAAAAATCAAATCAAATCAAATCAAATCAAATCATTTATTGCACGAATATGGGTACATACATTAGTTGAAAAAAATAATTACATGTCCATTATTCCATATTCTACCATATCGGCATGTACAATATAAAATTATAGTAATAATAACTTATAATAATAAAAATAATGTCAATAATAATAATAAAATGTAAAAAATGTCAATAAAAATAATTAAATTGCATGTCTAATATTTATCACTGTAGTGTCATGCAACGTATAGTAACATTTGGCTGTCAAATATTCTTTTGCTTTTTTCTTAAATACATTTAAACTGTTTATTTCCTTAAATGCTTTCGGGAATTTATTATATATTTTAGAGACCATACCGAAAAAACTTTTATCAAATAATGCTGTGACGTGAGGCTGAACGCGAATTTTATCGGTATTACGGTCACTTTTTAACTTTTCAAATAAAAGTTTATTCTTTTTCACAAACAACATTGTTTCAAGAATATAAAGGCTTGGAAAAGTCAGGATATTCAGTCTTTTGAATGAAGTCGTACATGTATCAGTTCTTTTCAAATTGCACATAGATCTAATACACCTTTTCTGAGTCTTGAAGACTATATCTCTATATGTCGAATTGCCCCAAAATATGACACCATACCTTAGTAAGGATTCAACATATGCATGATATGCAGTCAATACCGCTGTCTGATTAACAATCTTAGACAACATGCGTAATGCGTATGAAAATTGGTTTATTTTGCTATTAATATTTTCTATATGATGTTTCCATGTCAGGTTATTATCAATCGTTAATCCCAAAAATTTCGTAATTTTCACTTCATTTATTTTTTTTCCATTAAAATCGATATTAAAAGATGTCAAATTATTTTGACGATTACTAAAATTCATAAAATGTGTTTTATCTAAGTTTATCTTTAAATTATTTTCCTTTAGCCAGTCTATTAATATTTTTATTGTATTGTTAATATTTATTTCAAGTTCATTCGAATTCTCATCACTACATATTACGGTACTATCATCTGCAAATAATATCATAGGGTTAGTAGTTATATTTGGGATATCATTTATATATATCAGAAACAATAATGGGCCCAAAATACTCCCTTGTGGTACGCCATATTTTACTTCTTTGAAGTCTGATATAAAATTAATTTCAACTTTTGATTTTGGACATATTCTGTTGATTTGCGTTGCTTGCGTTCTACCACTTAGGTATGACTTAATGAAATCTAATGAAATCCCTCTGATACCATATGTGTGTAATTTCTCAATTAAGGTCGCATGATCTACATGGTCAAATGCTTTTGAGAGGTCCATATATAAAGCACAGACGGGTTTCCTATTATCAACGTGGTCTACAATTTTTTTCAAAAATTTATATATAGCCAAATTTATATTTTTATTCTTTCTAAATCCAACTTGTTCCTCTACCAATAAATTATATTTTTCTAGAAAATTATAAAGAGCTTTATAAATTACCTTTTCAATTATTTTAGAAAATATAGGTATAAGTGCTACTGGCCTATACGATGACATACATTCGCGATCTGCTTTTTTATATAGAGGTTTTATAATACTTATTTTTAATTTATCGGGAAAAATTCCATTTTCAATACATAAGTTTATAATATAGCTCAAAATTGGTGCTATCTGAGTAGCTACTTCTTTTACAATTTTTGTTGTAATATCATCGTAACCAGTGCTATTAGTGTCTTTTAAAGATCTTATTATTGTCAAAATTTCATCTGGATTTGTAGGTCTTATGAATAAGGAACTTACATTATTCGATGTCATATTTCTTGCTTTGAAATTATCATGCGGTTTAACTTGCTCAATAAAAAAAATATTAAATAATTCCGCTATTCTATTAGGATCAGTTATTTTTTTGTGATCGTTGTTAATTTGTGTTATATAATTCTTAGTTTTATTTTTATATTCATTAATTATTGTCCAGGTGGCCTTCGTTTTGTTTTTAGATGTCTTAATAAAGTAATTGTTTTGTGCTTTTTTTGTTAATTTCATTATATTTTTTAGTCTACTTGAATAGGTTTTGAAGCACTTTTTATTGAGAAGATTTGGATCTTTTCTGTATTTCCAAAGCAGTTTTCTTTTCTGTCTAGAGCATTTTATAATACCCTTTGTAATCCATTTAGGTCGTTGATAAGAACGCATTCTGATTCTCATCAATGGGAAACACATGTCATAAAATAACTTAAATTCATCAAAAAAAACTATTAAATGCAGTATTTGGATTGTTAGTATTATATACGTCTTTGAAATGGATGGCCATTAGACAATGCTTAAATTTTTCTATATTTTCTTTACTATAATCACACTTCATTATAAACCAATATGGGTTACCAAACTTCTCTGAGACCGGACACATCAATAATTGCGCTGTGTGGTCTGAGAGAGCCAATTCAAGTATTCGAGTTTTACAGTCTTTCATATTATGTCCAAAATTATCAATACATGTACCACTACATAGACGCGTTGGATCGTTGATTGCTAACTTTAAGTTGAATCCTTGTAATAACTGTTTAAATTCGAAAGAATATTTATCGGCTTTCAACATGTCAATATTAAAGTCTCCACATAACACTATCTTTCTTTTTTTGAAGCAATACATGCTTAATAAATTGTTTAAAGTTTCAAAGAAAGTTTCATAAGATTCCTGGGTCACTTTTGGAGGTCTGTAAATGCATATAATTAAAATATTATAATCTGTCAATTCCATCCCTGTACATTCGATAATATTACTGATACTTAAGCTCTCTATTTCATTCATAACCTTGTATCTGTGATTCTTACGTACCAAGATACACGATCCGCCATGTCTGTTACCTCTAGAATAGTGAGTGACTAATGTATAATTGGGTATTTTTAATAGGCTTGTATCACTTTTCATCATATTGTGTTCAGTTATACAAATTACGTCAATTGCTTCATTTTTGTTCTCTAAATTATGTAACTCTACAGATAGACAATCTGACTTTCCCAATAAGCCATTTATATTTTGATGTAATATGTTAATATGATTAGGTGCGAAAATTATTGTTTGTAGTAGTATAATTGTTATTCTGATTGGCGTCCATATTAATACGAGAATATTCTTTAACCTCACGGGCATTGAAATGGTTCGCTTCGGTTTGTGTATACTTATCACTAGTTGTTGATTGTTTATTTAAGGGGGGCGATACATGTAATCGCCTTAATTTTTACCGTTTTTTGAGGACTTTTTAAACTGGGAAGGAATGACTGAATCTTTTTGAACTTTTTTAGGGTTATTTATTATATATTAAAATACACAAAAAAATTTTTTTTTTAAAAGGCTGCCGTAAAAATAAATCTGCCAAGACCCTCTCGGAAAAAGCCATCAATTTGCGGGCGTTCTCACTTTTCGTACGGTGATCTGAAATCAAAAAAAATAGTTTGTACGTGTTCATAAAACATATATCTTCTAGTTAAGCCTAAAAAAAAATTAAAAAAGTCACAAAATCGTAAATTGGCACACCTCAGAAAAAAAAAGTTCGATTTTTCACCTTTTTTTCAATGGTTTTTTTGGTAAAAGGGTTAATTTTTGAAAATTTTTTTGGAATGTTTGAGGTTTAACTAGAAGCTATTACTGTAAAGTAGATGTGTGCAAAATTTCATTGGAATCGGTTGAGAACTTTTTGATTTATCCCACCCGCAAATTTCAAAAATGTCGTTTTGAGAAAAACGCGTTTAAAGTTTTGACACATAGAAACTGTATGATTAAAGTGGCTTACCGATTAATCAGCGATTCCAGGGCCATATAGAAGTCCTTCGGTACGTTCAAGGAACTCGTTTTTCTTTGCAAGTTCCTGCAGACATGCTTGACGAGCTTGTTTGGTGGTCAAAGACGATTTTCTCGATTCACTCTTTGCTCATCGATTTTCTCTTTATATGACATGGATTGGCGGCCAATAACAATTTGCAGTGAGTTCATAAGTTGTAAGATAAAATTTAACCCATCATTGAACAACCCTGCAGATATAAAAGCACTAATCTCTACGATCTTCCGTCCAGAGTTGAGATGTTTTGGACAGAGGCGCCAGACAGTAGAATTATAACTTTCATTTGCATTCTGAGTGTGACCTCCTAAACATCTTTTAAGCAAGTCATCCCGAGATAAATCGTCAAAAATTGGCTTAATATGAGGTTGAACATCAGGATGTAATGGAGTTGGATGTTTAATTTCTTTGGGATTTTCTCCTAAAGCTTCAGCTTTGCGCCACTTGCACCAGCTATCGGAACCAGATGGACAGTACTCGTGACTTGGTTTATCATCTGTAGAGCACATGTGATAGTAAGTGGCCATGATCGCATCTTTCATGTCTTTTACACTATTAACGTTTCTTCGAATGGCCAATCCGTAATATAACGATAATTTTTTAATTAATGCTTCCGTCAATTTACCTCTTCCGCCCAGATGATTGTCTGTTTTAGTTTTTCGGAGACGAGTACCCATCCTCTTCTGAACATGGCCGATGCATTCACTTTTCACAACTCGAAATTCGTCGCCATACGGATTCAAATCAAGAATTCCTTTGAAGGTTTTTGAATCTCCATCTCCTATGTAGTTTCCGTATTTGACACCAAATAATTCTTCAGATCGTGAAAACATTTCCTTTACAGCTTATTCCATAGCACCAGAAGAACCTTTATGGTTTTCTTGGCAGTTTGGTTCATGTTCTTCGAACCACTCACGATATTCTTCAGTGTTAGTTTTATTTTTCCAACGAGCACAACCTGCACAGAAACTACTTTTAACGGCTAAATCAATTACTTTACCACAGTAATATCCAATAAGGGTTGTGACCCCATACATCGATTTAAAACCCCGCTTTTTCCATGTACCGTCCCCAGAAACTTTTAAATTTAAGATTGGCCGCTCATGCTTTTCGTTCTCACGTTTTTCTTCGCCGACAGCTTTTACACAAGAAGCTTGAAATAACGACTGTGTAGTGGTGTGTAACAGCGAGATTATAGCATTGTATGTACTTTCAGATATACCATTACAAATGTCCATCATATTACAAAATAAGTTAATTCCCTCTCTAGCAACACCTAAAAGACGCATGACTAACACTATTCTGCGATTTACTTCAAATCCATTATTGATTAATGGTCCAGAAGAAATGTTTTTGAGGCCACACTTGCATATCACGACGATTTTAAAACCTAAACCTCTGTTAGCACTTTCTTCAAATTTCACAGGTAATTTACAATCACGACATATCAAAATCTCTGACAATGCTGTAAACACGGTAAAAAACTCGATAAATCGATAGCCTAGAAGCGGACTGTAATGATAATTTTCTTCGTCAGCGTTAGAGAGTTTTCTCGCACTTGTACTTTGCGCTTCCGTATTTTCTTCATTTTTATTAGAGTGTTGATTTCCATAAAACTGTCTTTTTCGTGGTTTCGCACTACGGGTTGATATATTTCTTTTATTTTTAGGATAAGACTGCATTTTTATTTAACTTATTAATTTACTCCGCACAAAACGAATGCCAGAAGTATACTGAACTGAACTAAAATAACGGCAACACTGGTTTTAAGTATTTTATGTTAACTATATAGTCCTTGTATACCTAGAATTAAAGAAAAAAAAAGGTTTTTGGAACATCTGCTGACCCGGTTCGATCATACAATAGACCCCAAGAATCTACATTCGAAACGCAGGTAGCGAGAATCGAGCGCTCAGTTACAGAGTACAATAGCACTCAAGCGTCGAGTTGAGGCGTGGCACTTAAATGAGTTTTTAATGTATAAATAATGATAATTTTGTTTTGAATATTTACAGGCGTATTTTTGAGATGTTATTCTAACGATTTATGAAAAAAAGAAAAAATCGATTTTTTTTTTTTACATGTATCGCCCCCCTTAATAATTTAAGTCGGTAATTAATTAAATTTGTTTTGTATTCGATTTGTAAAATATCTTTTAATAAAGTCCTACTCACAAATAATGAAATGCTTGCCCTGTAAAGCCGTTGTCGAGAATAGTTCATGTCAATATACGTTACATTTTCATATTTACCACATATAAATTTCAATTCATTATTAAGTTTTTTCTCATTTAGAACGTGATTAAAAGGTACTTCAGAGATTAATACATTAGTATTAGATACAGTTTCTAGCCAAATATTTATACGTAATCGAAATTCATACGGGTTCACATCATTCGTACCTCCTAAGACAATAACAAAGTCATTACGATTTAATTTTTTGATCAAGTTTGTCTCTGTATCAAGAACATTTTTAATTTTAGCCCCTGGTTTCCAAAAACAGGACACACTATAGTTGGAACCCAATAGTTTTTGAAGATGACTCTGCAAGTACCTTCCTTGCTGGTCTGCTATTATGATAACGTGGCGCTTCTTCAAATCTTCTCGCTCATTAACTATATTGCTGCCAGAGCCAGCGATGACAAAGTCCAAAGCGGCGGTTATCGGAGGACATGTATTATTTATACTGGAATTTGGTTTATTGGTTTCGTCAGTTAAGTCGATATCGATTTGTGATTTTCGCGTTTCATGTTTTACTGGACTCTGTTTCTGATCGATAAACGGTGCGTCTGTAAGCGTCTTTCGTTGGTTTGGAGTGGATAAACTTGAAGTCCTTACACGTTTATGTTTTCGTTTCCTCAGTGGTGTCAAATATTTAGTGTTGGATACCTGTTTTCCAGAACTTAAGTTATCGTTGCTATAGAAACCTACCCTCTTGTACATTTCAATAATTTTCTGACACGCAGCTCAGATTGAAGATGTCTATTTTCACTGTTTAAATTTTCTATTTCTAGGTTAGCGCTGCTTAAGTCCATTCTAAGTTTATAATTTTTTTCCTGTATCTCAGCCATTGTCAGCGAGTCATTAAATGATGTATTTGGTAAACTCACAGCCGTTGTTTCAAATAATGAAGATTCATTACTGGAAATATCATTTAATGAATTTTGTTTAAATTGTTTTCTAACGGTTACATTTTCATTTTCCATTCTTAAGTGTTTTTATTATTAGCACAATATAAAATATTCCCTACTGAAACTCAAGATAAATAGCAGAGAGGTAGTGTATATCAACGCAGAGAAAAAGTGTGCATTTATGATGCAAACAGTTTATTCTGTATTTATAGTCACTCTTAATAAATTATTGGTCTCATTAATCACCATACATTGTTCTTAGCCCTTTACCAAATTAGGACTGCGTAATTATCTTGTATAAATAATATTCATTCTTCCCTTAACCCTTTCAGAATTAAGATGTCGCTGAATATAACAAGTTGAATTTTGTTACGAGTATACAAAGTCCAAAGTCCAACTTTGAGTTTTTTAAACAAAATTTGTAGGTAGTCCGTTAACTTTATAAATTTAAAAATAACCACTATTCTACATGAAAAATATTTAAAATGTATATAGATTTGTGTTCGTCACTATTAAAAGAATGTACTCATATAAACAAAATTTACAAGAATTAGTTATTTCCTCACAGTTTCTGCACAAATATAAAACGTAAAATTTTCATTGAATTATCAACATTAACTTTCAACCAACACTATCACGTGATACTTATACTATTATTTATCTATTTTTAATAAATTTAGTTCTAAATGTTTTCTTTATGAATATTAAAATAATATTTTTCCTAGAGACAATGTGTAATGTACCGCGCCACCTAGCGGAACTCACAAAATTACTATACTAATTTTATAACGCTGTCTGATTTACAGATACCACAAATGTAAAATAAAAAAATAAATAAAATAAAAAAAAAAGTAAAAACTAAGCAAACTTCTCCAAAGCTTTTTGACTTATTTTCAAACATTTTACCATGATTTTTTTATTTTTGTTTCACGAACACTTAATTTTTATCCATAATTGCGACAAAAGTACCCAAACTGGCAACGCTGTATCTAGAAATTTCGGGTGAACGGGTAAAACAGATTTAGTAGTGCACAAAATAGAAACAGCGTCATCTGTGAAATGATGTGTACAAACTTGTAGCACGACCGCGTTAACTAAACAATGCTAATTAGATCGAAGAGCAATAGTTTCCTGGTAGAAATAAAACAATTTTTGAATTTTAATATAACTAATGAGTTTTGGTTTAAGAATTTATTTTATTCATTTTTATGTTTTTAGGAAATTTTAAAAATAAAAGTATACATATATTATAAATGATTTTGTTTGTTTTCTAAGACTTACGGAAGCATTAATAGTAAATCGCGACTAGTATTGCCAATTATTAAAAATTTTTCGCGCGGCCATTTTTTTTTCGCCTTCGTGTCCCCCTTGTATGGTCATGGAAATACAAGATATTGGCTAAAATGTGCATGCCTGTTTGTTTATGTTATAAAAAAATAAAAAAAACTTTATAACTTAAATATGTTCGTTTCTTAATTTGAATTAAATTAAAATTTTCTTTATTCAAATAGACTTGTTTATACGATTTTTAAATTCTCTTATTTATAATTCTATTGCGGATTGCTTCTGTTTTAATTTAATCATTTCTAGATGTAAAATTGCAAAATGTAAAGAGGGGAAGTTATTTAAATTGGTTTTATAGGGGAGTACATTTTTTGGGTGTGTGACACTACTGTCTATTCTTTAGTGGCATTCACAATACTACTGTCAGTGAGTCGCGTTTCTTTCTATCTTGTATATTTGGATTGTGGGTTTTTTTTTTAACACGGGGGCAAATAAGCATTCGGCTCACCTGATAAGTAAGCGACTATCGCCGCCCATGATCATCCACAACACTAAAAGCATTGTACGTGTGCTGCTGGCCTTCAAAGGAATATTGTAGGGCGACCCCGGACGAGGAACTCGCCTGTTAGGACTCTTCACAAGTGTCGGGGCCGAGCCGGGTGTGGTTTCTTATTTAGACTATGTTCACGGAAGCGGGTTTGACACGCGGGATAGACACGAAGACGGCTAGGGACGTTACCGCGCCGGGCAGGACTGAGTGGGGATGTTAGCATGTCCGTGTCGCGCAGGGTGAAGGTGCCGGCGGGCGTGCGCGGGCGCGTGCGGGTGCCGCGCATGGTGCGCGCGCACTACGCGCGGCCGCCGCCGCTGCTGCCCGCGCGCCGCGAGTACGTGCGCTGCCGCGCAGGTCAGTAGCCACACCACACGCCACACACCACACACCACACACCACACACCACACACCACACACCACACACCACACACCACACACCACACACCACACACCACACACCACACACCACACACCACACGCTCCACTCACACTCACACTCACACTCACACACACACACACACACACACACACACACTCACCTATGTTATTATGCTCGCCTGGTAGCAGCTGCTTTCAACATAATCATTATTGTAGGAAATTATTAATCATAGTACATTACTGCAGCGGCCAGCAACCGGGGCATTGATGGACGAACGTACAAATGTGGGCCGAGGTATAGCCGAGGAACACATACGTGAGTCCATCAATGCCTAGTTGTGGCCAAGGCTTGTATAGTACTTTTCTCAAACAATGCGCGGATTTCAAAAACACAATTTTACTTTTTAAATTCAATGACGAATTACGAACAATAATAATTTTTCACGCACCATAATGTTCCTTTGTTTTTTTTTTTCAATAAACAGCTTTCTATTTGCAAGCCAGTTCGAAATTTAAATAAAACCTTGTATTAGTTACCTCCTTGGTAGCCATGTTTCGGAGTAAAAGATCATTCTATTTTTAAATTACAGGACAGATATGAGTATACATAGTAATTTATCTGGCAGCAAAACACGACAGATATAGATTTTCATACAACTTTTGCCGGCCGCTGCCCGCATGTATCTGGCCAGTACGGCAATTTTGATTTATCTCTAAGAAGATTGTCAAAATAATGCTCACATTTCCAAGCATGTTTAAGAAAAATATATTTATGTATCACTTATATAAGTATGTATCTATATAATATAATTTTATCTTTGGCTGTTAATTTGGTCACACAGAGTTACACTCTGTGTTCGTTGCACGCGTCCATGTAGCCTAACTTCAGGCTGCAGCGGAAATCAGTACTTTGCTTTTGACAGGGGTAGAAGGTAAAGGGGACACCTTGAGGCTCCCACTTAAACCCTCACAGGACGGTTATAAAGACTGGACTGTGCGACTATATACTAGTTCATCGCAAAGTTAGTAAAATCTCGATAACAAATATTTGAAGGGCCCAAACTAATTGCAGTGCTGAAGAATCTGAAGGAGAGCCGCGACTATTACGAGTCGGAGAGCGAGGTGGAGGACGAGGTCGAGAAGCCGAAGCACCAGATCTGCCTGAACATGTCGTGCCCGCAGTACGACGGCGGCCGCTGCCCACACGCTTCGCCGCTGCGGGCCGCCACCGCCGCTGACGCCGCCGACGACCTCAAGGCCATTTCGGGGCAATCCAAGGTTCTTATTATGCTGTCACAGTGGAATGCATAACCCTTTATTATAGCCCTTCACTGTCCACTGCTGAATATAAGTCTTTTCCATAAGGGGAGTTTTGCCAGTATTTGCCACGCTTGGCAGGCGGGTTGGTAACCGCAGTTAGGTTTTAGAGATGTTTTAAGAGGGACGCTGCTGCGCATCCCTCGCCGTCCCTTAGTCGACTCTTATGACACTCACGGAAAAGGAGGGGGTGGCCTATTCTATGCCGGGACCTACACGGCTAAATGCCTAACTCTGCCTGATATAAATTTTTGGCTTTTTTTCCCATTTTCGTTTAGCTTAATTGGTAGTTCATTTCGTTACCGTAGTCAATGACGTAACTATGATCATAGCTGAAACTCAGCGCAAATATATATATATTTTTTTTATACAACTTAGAATAGCAAACAAGCTGACGGCCTACCTGGTGAAAAGTGGTAACCGTCGCCTATAGACATGAGCAGTACCATGGACATAACAGAGTATACTGTTTCGCCCATGATACCCCCCATGTGTTGCCATTCCTGAGGACTCAGATACCATTGTTTAATAGATGACAATGGAGCGGTACCCCCCTTTTGCGTTAACGCTATACGCTGGCGGGGCGCCAGTGAGGGATGATAGATAAGTATAAAAAGGCAGGTCAGTTAAGCCCATCATGATGATTATACCTGGATTTTGACACGATAGTTTTCAGAGGACCACATGGTGGTCGACTTGACAGGGTATATTGCCAACAATGGGACTGGTAGTCCGCATTCAATCCTTCCCCCCTGCGTTGATACCATTATGGTGTTACAGCATTGAGTTGGTAGACCTGAGAGGATGTATTTCTAGCAATAATGTCTACTTCTTTATATACATTAACTTTAAGGGGAAGGGATTGTTAGTAATGCGGTCTGTCAGTCTCATTGCTAGCAATATACTCTCTTCAGGTCGACCTCCATATTGTTCCCCCTGGAAACAATCGTGTTGAGTTCCAGATGTATTCACCGTGATGGGCTAACTGACCTGTTTGATATGATATGATACGTGGGGTACTACGTAATACTAACTTTACATGTATATGATATATAATAAATAATATAACATAAATACCCAACTTCTGTTGATCCATTCACACTTATTTAACTATAGATTCTTTAGGACTTCCATCAACAATAATTGTGATATATTTTATATAATGACCATGTAGTTTACTTGTACACTCTTGATACGTCAGGGAGCTCCGCTCTGTTCAACGGTTGGACAAGAAGTGTCTCCCCACCCAAATGACAATCTTTTATATCCACACGGCCGAATTCGAGTAGACAAGTCAGTGAGACCACGTGTTCTTACAATTTCATTACTTTTTATTCAAGTATCATGACAATGAATAATTATAAAATTAATTAAAATATAAATCAGTGTTCTATATGTTCTATATACATTACAAGAATAATTTATTACCAAATTTGGTATAATAGTAATTTTAACGTTTTATTATATTTAAAGTAGTCAGTCTGATTTTTATTAATAAATGTAGGTACACATTTTAACACAAGATGTTTAAGAAAATTAATATAATTTAAAATAAATATCTAACAGAGGCGGGGTTACCATTTCATTATCATCCAATAAAAAAGTCCTAAATGACTTGGTAGTAATAAGATGCGTATGAAATAGCTATATTATTACCTACTTCATATACGTCAATTTCAAAGTGAGAAAAATAAAAGAAATAGACATTCCAGAATTTCAAAGTAAAATATACACCAGTTTTTTAAATTATCCCTTGAGGAAGACAATTACCTTGAGGAAGTAATCACATCCAATTTTGTGCAGTAGTTTTTACCAAACTAACATACAGACGGACGACATTTTTAAAATTATTGTTTTAGTTTTTTCGTGCTCTTATTATATGACCCTCATACAATTTTTTCTTAAATATCTCCCATGTATAGGCATCGTCTAGTTTCAATATTATAATATTAGATAATGCCCCTTCTTGCGTAGTTACAGTTCCTTACGTAAAAAAATACATATAGTAGAATCTCGATTATCCGAATCAAATAAATCCAGGCGTAGTCTGTATAACCGAAAATCCGGATAATCGATTCCAAAGTTAAATCAAACTAAATAATATAATTAAATTTTAATATTTTTTTTTTATATTATGTAAAGAGTTCTACATACGTCATTTAAACAACACGATATAAAAAGCTATAAAGATAATGGAATACATAATATCATTAATAAATCTGAGAGCTGTACAGAATAAGTCCGGATAATCGATTTTCGGATAATTGAGATTATATATTATAGATTGACTATATTTAAATGTCAAAAAATTTCTATTTCAATATTTCAAAATCAAAAATGTATTTGGTTATGTAGGTCTGTATTTATTATTATGATACGTCTTTTTTGGTATTTTTTTTTTAACAATTGAAAATAGTTCGAATTACAAGAAACCGCTTATATATATTATATAGGTTTTATAGTTTATGAATTCGCTTATATCTCGTAGATTATTTTAATGGGTGAAAATGGTATGTGCAACCCGTCTGAGCTGTCGGTATATGTTGGCAAGGTACCATTGAAAGGTGATAGGTGAGGATGAAAGCAGGCCAGTTGACCCATCACGACTTGATGAATTCCATAATAATTCCAAAAGAACCAACACTGTCCAGGGAGAATGGAGGTTCTCTGATAGGGTCGTTGTTATATATTGTTAGTTAATGAAGCTGTTGGACTACATTACTAACTCCCCCTCATCCCTCTAGTTGGGTAGACAGAGCGACGAGTCGAGTGAGTTGTCGGACTCGGACTTCGAGTACCTGACGGCGGCGGTGAAGAAGCGGCGGCTGTCGGGCGGCGAGCGGCGCCGCGGGGCGCGGCGGGAGCGCCTGGAGCTGCGCGCCGACGGGGACGCGGAGGACCTGCTGGCCGCCGTCGACGACCAGCTGCAGAAGCTCGACGACAGGCTCGTCAAGCTGCTGGCCTGGCAGCGGCTGCAGCAGGTAACGCCATTCGCTTCGCGTTCAAATTTACTTGGATTCCAGTAGGTTTAGAATTTTTTTAGCTGATGAAAATGAAATAGTAACCATGCAACAATAGAGTGAATAGCTGACAATAGGCGAGGGCAAAGACAGTTTAGTTGGCTCATTGTGGAGAACATGGCTTAAGCAGCCTGGTTAGTTAATTTGGTGCTGTCTGAAATAGAATGATTCATTTTCCTATAATTTTTTTATGATACCAATTATAACAGTAACCTAACGTGTATATTTTTATTTATGGTGCAATAAAGAGTTAAATAAATAAATAAGTTTAATTTTCTGGACTAAAATGAATGATATGAGAGTGTTATATCACGGTTAGAAGTTTGTACTTGCATTCTGTGACAGTTTATAGAACATTTGTTTGTGTACTGAAGTCTAATGAATATACTAAGGGATTGCTTACTATTGTGGCCATTTACATAAGTGATATAAGTGTGAGTATATTTACATTTATTGCCTGGCTTTTAAGTATAGTATTGAATGTATTATAAGGAATAAGGCAATGGAAATTTGGGGGTACTGTTTTAGGTTTTATTTGTGTAATGTGTTCATCACTGTGTTACGAGGGGAGTTGTTAATTGAGAAATAAATATTTATATTATTTTTAAAAATTGTATTTGTATTAGTCTATGCTCTATAAAGGATAGGAATTTGTTTTTCTTTTTTATTTAATAGAAATGGATAAATTTAAAAATGATTCGATGGATTTTGTTTTTATTTATAATATTTTATGTTTGTATGTGCGTATTCCGTACAAGCAAATCGCAGTGGAGGATGAGCTCTGTAGACGGAGTGGTGATCTCAAATGCATCGTAGAGAGGCAGTGTATGTAGTGTATGTAGTATGGGTGAGTGAGTGTTGGCTCGTGCGCGCGTGTGCAGGTGGCGTGGGGCGAGCAGGCGGCGGGCGCGTGGGCGCGCGCGCCGCTGGCGGGCGGCGCGGCGGCGGCCGTGCGCCGCTCGCTGGCGCGCGCGCGCCTGCAGCGCCACGGCCTGCGCCGCGTGCCGCTGCCCTCCGAGCTGCTGTCGGCCGCCGAGCGCCAGCGCATCGCCGCCGCCGTCTGGGGGCCGCCGCCGCCCGCGCCGCCGCCGCCGCCGCCGCCGCCGCCGCCGCCGTCCGCGCCGCCCGCGCACGCGCTGCATCTGCCGCCGCGCGCCGCGCTCGCCGCCGTGCACCGCCCCAGCAGGTACAGTTTGCTTCTCTTTTCAATATGTTACTTGAATGCGATTCAATATATAATTTCACTCTAACATCGCACCTCTAATTCCTAATATGAATCATCTCAACATAAACGTATATACACTACATATTTACATTTATTTATATTACACTACACATACACCCACTCTAACTTGCCTACCTCGCTTTGGAATCAAAATTTTTCTTTATATAAATAAAATCCGTTATTGGCTGTATTCATAAGAGACTTAGCATGTAAGTTATTTTTAAGAGCTATGGATTTTTGTATAAAATAAAATAAAACAAAAAAAAAATATAATAAAAAAAATATTAGATAACATTCCATCTATAAATTATTGTTTTTTCAACTTCAAACTTATACATTTACTTATTTATTTACAGAAAATACGAGTATAAAACTCATGTTTTATGACTTTGATGATTTATAATCATAATATACCCTTTAATCTTTAAATCCCACATACTCTGTTTACTCTATATCTACTCTACAATGTTTCTCTGCAACATTGATTTTTAAAAGAGCCAATGTTAAAATGATTTTAAGACAAACATCGAAAACAAAATCTATTTGTATAAAAAAATAATGAAACAAATACTTAATACAAATATATAAAAATCAACTATATAAGAGTAAAGTTGTGCTGCATATAGTATCATTGTAACTAATAATTAACATTTCAACATTAATACAATGAAATCTCGGTTATCCGTATTCAATAAAACCAAAGGTATTCCATATAATCGAAAATCCGGATAATCGATTTCAAAATCAAATCCAACTATACATATTTAATTTTTATATTTTTTATTACGTATAAATTTACATACGTCATTTAGACAATACGATATAAAAAAATGCCATCTACCTATTTACCCAATTAAAAGATAGTACCGTTTCTAAATCGGTAAATAGAACCGAGAAAAATAAGTCCGGATAATCTAATATTCGGATAATCGATGTTCGGATAATCGAGATTTTACTAAAAAAATATTTTGAATCCAGGAACGGCCTAGGCGATGGCCTTGGCGAGCCGATCCCGATGCGGCTGTCAGTGCTGTGGGTGGGCACGGACAGCAGCTGCGACGTGCGCCTCGAGCAGCCTCCGCACCTCAGCCGCCGCCGCTGCCGGGGGCTCTCCCCGCGACACGCGCTTATATTCATGGACGAGGTCAGTGCCCTCACTCACCACTGCTGGACACTACACCGCTACACATTTATTTATTTGTAAAAGGAAAACCACGACTTATTTATATAAAAAAAAATAATTACAAGATAACAACAATGATGCCACACACAAGGTTTTTATTAATAAACGCAAAATATTAAATTTGATAGTTGTCGCTTTAGATAAATAACCCAAAGAGTATATAGGATTTATCTGAGGCACATAGACTCGTGAGGCAAACATGTGTATTACATATTATATAATGAATAATATAAAACAAATATGCTTCATTTAAAAAAGATGATTGCCTTTCAAAAAATGAGATAAATACAGATAAAAAAAAATATTAAAAAAAAATATTTAAGAAAAAAAATATATATATACATATTTGTCACAAATTAGAGTAGGCTGAAACAATGGGATGCCAAATGCTTCGATTCAAACAAGCCTCTTTCGCTTCTTCCACATTCCTCAATCTTTTCATACACGCTCGCCGGTTACGGGTACTTTTAATTTGGCCCTTGTTCAGCACGTCGCCTATTTGGTCGACATGCGTCCGTCTAGGGCGGCCCCTATCGATTCAATTCAATTCAATTTATTTTTATTCGTTACAATATTGCATTGTGTTGAATATTTTTACAAGTGACAAGAAGATATCATAAAACATAACAAAAATATCTCTATTCATTATTGATCGATAAATCTCTTTCGTAATTCTTTCATCCATCCTCTCCAAATGGGCAAGTAACATTCTCTTTTTGGTTTTTGTCACTACGTCAACTTTCAGTCCATACTTCTAATTCTAATGCTGTAAGCCGTTAGTAAGGATTAGAACGCATTAATTTTGTATGTATCACATACAAAATTAACTCGGTATGGGAGTGGACAAAGGAGATAAAAATAAATTTTGCAGGTGACCCAACACTTCGAGCTGATCAATTACTCGGAGTGGGGTACGCGCGTCAACGGCGTGCTGTACACGTGCGACGCGACGCACAGCGAGCACGAGCCGGAGCACGAGCGCGAGCGCGACGCCGAGCACGACGCCGAGCACGACGCGGACGAGCCGCGCGAGCCGGACGAGGCCGAGGCGCGGGCGAACGCCGTCAGGGATATCGTCAGGCATCGGATGCCGCGCCCGTTCAGGTTAGTTCACACTGTTTTAACATTTGGTATGCAGTTTGTCACTGGAAATTCATATAAATGTTTTGATATGAATAATTCATAGTTGTTTTAGAGTTAAAATTTAAAAGCCTAAGGGATTGACGAGGGTCAGACTAAAAGTCCTTAGAAAATCAAAACCTGGTTAAATTAGCAAGTTTTTACCATTATTTTATGTTTTCAAAATAGTGTCCATTCACGACAATACATCGCTGCATCCGATAGAACCACTGAGAAAAGCACTTTGCCTACTCGTCCTTAGGGATTTCTTCGATGGCCTTCTGAAATGTAGCCACAGTTTCCTCGGAGTTTTTCTCTTATTTTTTGGAATAAATAAAAATCGCAGATACCCAAGCAATCGACTTTTGTACAAAGTGTCCCTCTGGTGATGTGTATGTGTGTGTATTAAGCGATACGATGTGGGGCTGCAGAGTGAACGGGTCGCTGCTGGGCGCGGACGAGGACTGCTGCGGCTGCGGCGCGGCGGCGGCGGCGGCGGCGGCGGCGGGCGCGTGGGAAGGCTCGGCGCTGCTGTCGCACGGCGCGCTGCTGCAGTTCGGCTGCCTGCTCTACGTGTTCAGCGTCACCGGCGACGGCCGTCCCCAACACGACGACCCCGCCCTCTAGCGCCCGCCCTAGTCTCACTCGCTCACTGAACTCTAATATCCTTTATGCATCTAATGAACTCCCAAGTACAGGAGTTCTAGCATTTGACTGTGTTTTTGTATTTTTTATGTATTTTGTAGAATTTAAAATGTTTTATTCTATTGTAAAATCTTTATTGTACATATTTTATATTGGACATGTTAAAACATTTAATATGCAACGGCGGACTTATCCCATAGAGCAGTGTTTCTCAACTTTTTTTGTGTCACGCCCCACTTGAACATTTCTAAAATTTTTATACCCCCCATACATAATTTTTCCCGACAAAGTTTACTTGACGACTCTAATCGCCCAGTTGATATTTTGGTAACGTCAAACGAAATTATACCTAATAAATTAAGCATTTATTTTAATTTACTTTTTTTGTTATATTTTGCATCGATATCTACTCGTAGCGTTGCATTTAAATGGCCCGAAGCAAGAGGGTTAAAATCGCTTCGAGTCCATTTTTTAATTGCCCCCCCTTAACTATAACATTGCCCCCCCCTGTGGGGCGTGGGCCCCACGTTGGGAAACACCGCCTTAGAGGATCGCTTACAGTCAACCTTTGAAAAGCTAAAAGTAAACTATAGAATGTACAAGGGTAAAAACTTTACAGCTAAATGTAAACTTAATAATATTTAGTTAAAATTAAACATATTTTAGATTAAAAAGTAACTGTATACACTTACATATGTAAATATATAAATAATAAAACAACAGTAATACCATATTATTGTATCAAACCGCGTTACCCAGTGTGTTTTAACTAGAAAATATAGTAATTTATACTTAAAAAATACATGATGAATATTCATTTAGATTTAAATTTCTCTCTCTGCGTGTGTTCAGTTCAAAATGAATAATAAAATATACCACGGACATTGTTAAACTGCTCATAACAGTCTCTTTGTGAGTTAACTGCGGGTGTAATTTTAACTATTTAAAGTTTAATATGTTATGTAGTAAAATTTGTCGTTAAGATCTTTGCCATGTGATATAATATCATTATAATTCATTAATATTTACGTCCCACTGCTGGGCTGGACAGAAATATATTTTGGTATATATGTACATATGTTATTCTCGTGTTTTTTGTGCTGGCAACAAAGTTATTTGAATGTATGAAAGTAGGGATTTGTTTGGTTAAACGGGAGTATTTGTAAATTGAGAAATGAAACAAAATCTTCTATATTAGTGTGTTCTGAAGTTTTGTTTGATTATCACAGAAATACTGTTGAAATTAAGTTGGTAATAAATTAAGTCTGCTGATGTCCTTATAGTATTGCTATGATTCTAGGTTAACAGGCGGTATCGAGTCCTTTAATTCAAGGCGAGACTTTGCCTCTCTTTGCATCTTCTACCGTCTGTATAACGTATTGTGTTCTGAAGATCTATTAGATATGATGCCTACAACCTCCTTTCACCATCGTACCGCTCACCGTCGACAGGGAATCTATCCTTACATCTTAGAAACAGAATAATCACACACAGTGCAGTTTTTTTTATTTGGGTGAAAATGGTACGGTAACCTCGCTTGCGCTAACGGGATGCGCTGGCAGAGCACCAGTATTTAAGGAATTAACCATGATAGTTTCCAGGGGGAACCGCGAGGACGACCTGGTTGGGTATATTGCTAGCAATAGGATTCTTAGTCTCCATTACTAACAATCCTCTCCCCCCCCCCACATATTGCGGTTTCAAAGGAGCTTCCTCCCGCATACACTTAGGCTGTGTAATAATTAGCTGAGGCTTTCCCTAGAGACTATAGCATGGGGTTTTTCAAAAAGGGCGTATGAAGGTTTTTTTAAGGATAGGCAATGCGCGTTGACATTCCTAGTGTGACAGGCGTCCATAGGCTACGGTAACTTCGTTTACCGGGGGGAAAGGGATTGTTAGAAATGGAGTTCGACATTGCAAGCAATATACCCTATCAGGTCGACCTCCACGTGGTTCCCCCCTGGAAACCATCGTGAACAATTCTTGTTGAATTCGTCACGATGGGCTAACTGACCTGCTTCATCCTCATCTATCATTCCTCACTGGTGCCCCGCCGGTGTATACCGATAGCGCAGGCGGGGTTACCATTCCATTATCACCCATTAAAAAAACTCCGTTTACCATCAGACGAGCTGTATGCTTGTTTGCCACTACACTCACACATAGTAGTATTTAAAAAAAAAAAAAAAATTTTTATTGTACTACTACAGTGGTGGACATCAGCAAACTGCCTTATGGTCGGGTCGAGTATTCATTAGTTTTAAATTTTTATTAAATTCTGTTGAAATAAATCGGCGCGTCCAGTTGTTAAGTTTTTCGACAGATGTCGCTTTAGTAAAAATGTACCGTGGTGCCATTTCTGTGGCGTCATTCCTCTAAAATTACAATTTGATACCGTAGCGAAATCTAACTCATTTTATAATAGGTTTAAGTTAAAACTATTGTAATTTTAGTTTATGATGGTCCATAAAATAGTAATTTGGAGAAATTAAATGTTAGGTTAAAAGATTGGCTTACAGTGTGACCATTTGTGGCAGATGGCTGTCATTTTGCCAAATTCCGCTCCTAAATTTTGTCTGTGGCATATCATGCTGATGATTTTGCTAAAGTGGCAGATTTAAAGGATTCCAAACAAATTCACATTGCATAATTTGAATTTAAAGGGGGGAAAGGGATTGGTAATAATGAGATTTAACAACCCCATTGCTAGCAATATACCCTATTAGGTCGATCTCCACGCGGTTCCCCCTGGAAACCATAGTGGTTAATTCTTGTTCAATTGATTACTATGGACCAACTGATTTGTCTTCATCCTCACCTGTCATCCTTCACTGGTCTGCCAGCGTATACCGATAGCGCAGGCAGGGCTACCATTTCATCATTCACCCATAAAAAAAAATAAATTTTCAATAAAGACTTAAAGGTTATGGAATGAGCTCCCTGCCGATGTTTTCCCAAGAGACTACAGCATAGGGTTCTTCAAAAGGGGGGTAAAGAGGTTTCTTGAGGGTCGGCAACGCGCGCGTAATACTTCTGGTATTGCAGGCGTTCATAGGCTACGGTAACCGCTTACCATCAGGTGGGCCGTATGCTTGTTTGCCACCTCAGTGGTATAAAAAAAAAGACGTCTCTTTTAAAAGTAAAAATCAGGCAGGAGTCTGACGCAAATAGTAACAGTGTGTTTTTTTTTTGATGGGTGAAAATGGTATGGTAACCCCGCCTGCGCTAACGGGATACGCTGGCGGAGCACCAGTGAAGGGTGATAGATGAGAATAAAAACAGGCCCGTTAGCCCATCATGATGAATTTATCAGAAATTAACCATGATAGTTTCCAGGGAGAACGGCGAGGAGGTCGACCTGGTTGGGTATATTGCTAGCAATGGGATTCTCAGTCTCCATTACTAACAATCCTTTTCCCCCCAAAAAGAAAAGCGACCTGAAGGTCGGCGGTTCCTCCTGGAAACCATAGTGGTTAATTCTTGTTCACCTGTCAAGTTGACCTTGCTCATCTGTCACCCTTCACTGGTATCCTGCCACCGTATACCGATAGCGTAGACAGGGTTAACATTTCATCTTTACCCATAAAAAAAATTTTGAATTTTCAATAAAAAACATCTCGTTTAAAAGTAAAAAAAAAAAAAACAAGCAGGAGTCTCACGCAAATGGTAACAGTGTTGGCTTAGAGAAATGAAGCTTCAGAATGAGTAGCAATGTTTTCGAATGTGTTATAGACGTGTATATAATAGGTAAATATTTCAGCTCACGTGTGTACTGTCATATCAATAATTGTAAGTGTTTCAGATTGTTTTTACATGGGATTTAAATGAGCGACGTCAGACGGCACAGTGCTGCCTCTGTATCGCGTTCTGTCAATCCGTTATGTACTCTATTAAGTATAAATATAAGGTTGTAAAACGTTTTTTAATTTTAATGCGACGTGTCTTAAATCTCCCGAATCCTGGTCAAGCTTTACAGACATGTTTGAAGGCACGTGTGCGCCTGTTTTTAATGATTATTTTTATCCTTTGGAAGTATGAAGGTAACTTTAACTTCGATTCGCCAATCATCCTTTATTAGTATAGATAGATAGATACTCTTTATTGTTTCCTCCAAAAGATTACAATAGTAAACTTATTATAAATATAAATAATTACGATATCATAATAAAAGTAATGTATAATCACAATTTAATAAATATTACAATAGTTTCTCAACGTTCTTGAGTGGCGACCCCGTACTGGCAAACGCGGTGTAGGACGACCCCCCACTAGATGGAGTGACGACCTCAAATAATGCATTTGCATTGCAAGGAGCCAGTGGACGCAGGTGGCTCAGGACCGTACCTTATGGCGGTCTATGGGGGGGGGGGGGGAGGCCTATGTCCAGCAGTGGACGGGTAATGGCTGAAATTATGATGACGATGTCGAATTTAATTCAATTATCTGCCATTTTTTAATATTGTATTATGTAATGTGTTCATTGAAGTTGTAATTTTATATAAAAACTATATTACGATTTATGATTACTAAGTAATAAATGCGCAACTATTGTGCTAATGTTACCACGCATCAAGGTTAGTTCTTGCAAATGTAAACGTATGCATTGTAATCGGTACCTGGTGGTATACCATACCGCTTACGAAACTCACAGGAAAGGAAGGGGTGGCCTATTCTATGCCGGGACCACACGGCCACACGGCTTTCGTGCATATACACACATATTTTTTCTTTGTGGTTTAAAATAGTTACCATGCAAATCATATTATTGTAATGTAAAAGTTACATTAATCGAATAATAGGCATTTATTTACATACATACATATCTGTCACGTCTATCTCCCATTAATATAGGCAGAAAAGCAGGCATTTATTTTATATATACAAATAAATTTATATATACTTAAAGTCTCGTGGGTGTCGTAAGAAGCGACTAAGGGAAGGCGAGACATGGCCAGTAGTATGCCTCTTAAAACATTTCCAAAGCCTAACTGTTGCCAATGTTCAATAAAACTCCATTTTCGAATAGACCATAGATAAGTTTATTTTTGTTTTAATAATGTTACAGAACCATAGACTCGCCAACAAATAATATATTACTACATTTATGCAACAGCCAATCCACCTGCAAGCATGGAATTGCCATGGCAAAACCTCCCAAGAGGAAGGCTTATGTTCAGCAGTAAAGTCTATTCTTATAATGTATTTAAAAAAAATGAAAAATAATTAAAATAAATTTTATTAAAATACAATCGAACTAGTTCTTGATTACAGATTTAATACGTCTGCACTAGTCCAATGCGTTATTTTAGTGATGCCGTTCACATCACTAGATCGGCTGCTGTTTTATGCCCTTCACATCACTAGATCGGCTGAGAGATAATGGTATGGTAACCCCTTCTGCGCTATCGGTATACACTGGCGGGGCACCAGTGATAGATGACTGATGAGTAATGAAAACAGGCCAGTTAGTCCATCCTGATGAATTCAACTAGAATTAGCCACGATGATTTCCAGGGGGAACCACGTGGAGGTCGACCTGACAGGGTATGTTTCTAGTAATGGGGCTATTTGACACCATTACTAACAATCCCTTTTCCCCCCGATCGGCTGCTGCTTGCTACGCGTTGTTCTACAGTTTGCTAATTGATAATATTAAAATATTTACAAAGCAAATGTGTGTATGTTTTTTTTTACTTTTTTTTTTTTGTTAAATTTGACAGCGATATTTACTCGTAGCATTGCATTTAAATGATCTGGATTAAGAAGGTTAAAATCGCTTCGAGTCCATTTTTTAACCCCCCCCCCCCCCCCCCCCGCCTTTAACTATCAAATTGCCCCTCTGTGGGGCGTGGGTAAACACCGGTCTAGATAATGTGTTAATATCACATTGCGAGACGCCTATTCGACTCGGCTAAGATGACAATATGATTTGCGTAAGGTGGCTATTTTAATCCCTATGGACATCATTGTTATGAAACTTTGTATAAGCAATGAGTAAGCAGTTTAAGATGCTAGAAAACGGTTATGTACTCACTGCCATATATATTTATTGAAATCTCTTATGTGACTAAATAATGTAGTCAAATGGATTAATATATCCATTGTATATATTTAAAATCTTTTTGGACTCCATTACGTAGTGTTGATAAGCTCTTGGGAGGGCTATGACAGCTACTTTGACCGTTTCATAATTATTTTATTGAAACTGGTATTAATAGGTAAGTATTACGTCTTACCGGTAATATTAAATATTATTGATTGGTTCCGTGGAGATTTTATCGTAATTTGTACAATAGTTCAGTTTGTAAATCAAAATATCTGGTTTTATCACAATGAAAGTGGGTTTTTTTTTTAAAAAAATATTTTTGACTATTTATTTGGAAAACAATAATCCTATCTAGTTCCATTAAATAGATACAATACTATACTGTCTCTATTTATTATTATTCGTATAAAAAGACATGTCATGTTTATTTCCTCATGAAAAATATATTGTAAAATAACTATTTTCTCAAACATGCTTGGAAATGTGAGCATTATTTTGACAATCTTCTTCGAGATAAATCAAAATTGCCGTACCGGCCAGATACATGCGGGCAGCGGCCGGCAAAAGTTGTATGGAAATCCATATCTGTCGTGTTATGCGGCCAGATAAATTACTATGTAAACTCATATCTGTCCTGTAATTTAAAAATGGAATGACCTTTTAGTTCGAAACATGGGTACCAAGGAGGCACTTATAAAAGGTTTTATTTAAATTTCGAACTGGCTTGCAAATAGAAATCTGTTTATTGAAAAAAAAAAAAAACAAAGGGACACTATGGCGCGTGAAAAATTATTATTGTTCTTTATTCGTCATTGAACTTAAAAAGCAAAATTGTGTTTTTGATTTCTGCGCATTGTTTGAGAAAAGTACTATACAAGCCTTGGCCACAACTAGGCATTGATGGACTCACGTATGTGTGCCTCGCTACGCCTCAGCACACATTTGCACGTTCGTCCATCAATGCCTCAGTTGCTGGTCGCTGCAGTAATATACTATTAGTGGTTTCTAATGCATTATTGTATTGACTAGTGTGTAATTTTAGGTTAGAGAATGATTATGTTTGATGCAACTGTGTATGGCCAATTCTGTGGTTGTTTTTAGATCGAAGAATGTGATATAAGGATGGTATTACATAGATGGATAAATTTTACCAAACGAGTCCAGTGTCGGACTTAGTATTGATGTTTATGTCAAGAAATATAAGTATTTTAAGGGAATCATTTGTTTTTTTTTATTCATTGATCGATCAATTTTCAAAATATTTAATTTGTAAAATTATAAGCCAAATGTTTTTGTAATATGAATAAAAGATTTATATCTTAAATTATACATATAATAAAAGACTCCAAATAAATTTGGATAGGGTAGGAAGATGATCATTTTTACTTTAAAACCTTTCGAGCGATGTCTAAAGTGGGTTTTTAATTCATCTGTAACTAGTTTTTACCCGCGACTTCGTCTGCGTGACTGGGATAAAAGTAGATGCATAAGACTCAGTATAGCGTACTTCTTCAATGGGTGATAATGAAATGGTAACCCAATGATAATGATATTGCTAGCAATGGGACTGGTAGACCGCATTACTAACAATTCATCCCCCCTATTATTTTTTAACAAATATTAAGCTGTTAATCGAAGATGCCTTCCTTCCTGTCAATTACAACTTTTAGTAAGATTGCGTAGTTTCTTTTGTCGTTGACACTATACTGTCTGTAGAGAATGCTTTTGAATTTTTTAAATTAAAAAACTAATAAAAAATAACAATATTTATTATAAAATAAGACTAATCATCGTCGTTTGGAATTTCCTCTTCGAAGTCCCTGACCTTCACATCGGCGTCTTCGCCATATTGTATTATATTGTCTATGGTCAAGAGTATATTCTCTATGCTCTCCTCGTCTTTTATGTTAAACGGGTAGAAACGCACTAGGCTGAAGTTGTCTATGACTTCACCTATCGCCTCTGTTAGCTTTGCATATTTCTCGTGCCATTTGGAGTCTGCGTTTCTCATATCTGCTAGAAGGATATGTGGGTCCGGATCTAAGTAACTGAAACAAAACCTTATTGGTTAGCTGCATCATTTGTAAAGGTGGCAAACATCTATATTGGGGGGAAAGGGATTGTTAGTAATGGGGTCAAATAGCCCTATTACTAGCAATATACCCTGTCAGGTCGACCTCCACGTGGTTCCCCCTGGAGACCATCGTGACTAATTCTAGTTTAATTCGTCAGGATGTGCTAACTGACCTACTTTCATCTTCATCTGTTATCCCTCACTGGTGCCCCACCAGTGTATACCAACAGCGCAGACGGGGTTACCATACCATTATCACCCATTAAAAAAAAAACATCTATATTTGTTATTCAATTAAGTTTTTACTCCGAATCGGATTTGAATGAAACAATGGATTGTTATCATATCGAATATAAGTCTAATATTATTTTTAATGCGCTAAAGGTATACGCTGGTGGGGCACCAGTGAGGGATGATAAGTTGGGGGGGGGGGGGGGGGGGGTGAAAAAGCAGGGTGATTAGCCCATCATGATGAATATATCGGGACCACGTGGAGGTCGACCAGGCAGGGTATATTGCTAGTACTGGGAGTGGTAGTCCGCATTACTAACATTTGCTTACCCCAGATTTTTTTTTATTTATTTATTCCTTATTGACCATTCTCTCCCAGTCGAACCTTTGGCAAAACAGAAATTTTATTATGCGGTGAAAAAAATTACAACACATACAATAGAAACTACTGCACAATATGATTATATAAATATACATACATAAAAATATACATATATAAATATACCTACACACTTATAGATTATTAGTATTTATAATAAGTTAAAATATTTCAGTTTTGAAACAGTAATACCAGCGTGTACTGTTAGCCTAGGTGGGGTTGCCATTCCATTATTATCCATTAAAAAATATTAATTATATCCAGATATTAGTGCTATATATATACTTACTTGTCAAGTTGATTTCTGGCCGATTTACTGAGTAGGTCCATCTTTGTTAAAATATTTATATGTGGCAATTCTAAATTCACCATCACACTGAGGGCTGCCATTGTGCCTGCAAAACAAAAGTTAACTGATGCAGATTATTTATTATTTATTTATTCATTAGTACAAATATGTGTACATGGCGGACTTAATGCTAAAAGCATTCTCTCCCAGTCAACCATAGGGAAGTGTCAGAATACTCGAATGCGGTACTACTAATTATTGATATACATACATACTAAAATTACATATATAAACGAATAAATATATATAAATAACAAGTATACTTACACATATATGATATATACTATATTATACACGAAATTGAGAATAATATAGAGCACTTACTGTTCGGGTAAAGATAAAAAGTGAGCGTGAACGCTTTTTTTGAAAGACGGTTTAGTCGGTAGTCTCTTAATGGCATCAGGAAGCGCGTTCCAGAGTCGTGAAGAATGTAGGAGAAAAGAGTTTGAAGCGTAACCAGTACGGTGAGAGGGGAAAAATAATTTATTTTATTAATTTATTCATACTTTTAACATAATTTATATGTAAAAAATCATAATTTATTACTATGCTACCTGATATGACATATAGATTCATTATTCAATATTAATATATAGTTTGAATTTAATAATCTATACTTATAATAAATCTGTAGAGAGGTCAATTCTGTACATGAAATATATTTACAAAATAACTATCAGCGGGTGATCAGTGATCGATACTGATGCCAAAAATGCAATCAGTAAAATTTTTGTCTATCTGTCTGTATGTTCGTTATAGAAACAAAAAACTACTCGACGGATTTTAACGAAACTTGGTACAATTATTCTTCATACTCCTGGGCAGGTTATAGTATACTTTTCATCATGCTACGATCGATGGGAGCAGAGCAGTGAAGGGAAATGTTGGGAAAACGGGAGAAGTGTTATGTCCATGGTACTGCTCATGTCTATAGGCGACGGTAACCACTTTCCATCAGTTGGGCCGTCGGCTTGTTTACCATTCTAAGTTGTATAAAAAATAAAGTGACTTCATTTTTAAGCTCCCGTCGCGTGTGCAGCCTTAATGGCCACTTTTTAAAATGTAAAAATGTCCACCTGTGCAAAGCCGGGACGGGCCACTAGTTATTAAATAAATTAAGCAAAATGCAATGTATACTAATGAATTACACAGTTGGAGCAATACGAATGACTCCATCATTCTGTACCTGACAAAAATTTAGCACCATCGACCATAAACTGTGAATCAATTAGGAACACTACACATATCCTGAAGTTCCACCTTTGCAGTGTGTCTACCAGCTTCCTTATCACAGGCAGGTGGGTATACAGTTCTATCTGGCCGGGACAGTCAAACAGAATGTAGTCATCGTCCACATCTCCGAGCTGTTCTTCCAGCCAATCACAGTTTTCTAAGAGAGTTCTGGAAATTAAGATAATAAGTGTAAAAATAAACATTTATTTGGATGAAGATGGAATGGAGACCCCAACTGTACTTTCCGTACCATCATCATCATCATCATCATCATATCAGCCTTTAACTGTCCACTGCTGAACATAAGCCTTCCTTTTTTTTTCAGTAGTTACCATACTTGGCAGACGGATTGGTAACAGCAGTTAGGATTTGGAGATATTTTAAGAGGGTTACTGCCTATCCCTCGCTGTCCCTTAGTTGCCTCTTACAACACCCACGGGAAAGAAAACGGTGGCTTATTCTATACCGGGACCACAGAGCTATCAGTATGTGTTGGCAGGATTCTATTGAGAAATAAAGTAAGGAGAACGATGTCAAGTTAGAGGCTCTGTTGTGATAAATTAACCATGGTTCTTAAGAAGAGCCGTATAGAAGTGATTTTCAGCTTATATTAATAGCAAAGGTGTACATTTTTTTATATACAAATGTTAAGATGAAGAACAGGTCACTATTAGAATGATTTTTAACACGTTGGGCCCGGCGCCGGTCCCTGGGGACCGACAGCGAACTTTCCGTGTGGCCAGCGTCAGTCCCTGGGGACCGGCACTAGAAATTTCCGTGTGGCCAGCGTCAGACATATTCAATGTTATAGGCAATAACTATTTCCAAAACTAAATTCAATTTTCTTTTTACAAACAATCTGTACACTTCGATAGGTCTTTTGTAACTGATCACCTCTCGAAGGTACGTATGTGGTTTTACTATACATCATAATTATGAAAATATGGAATAGAATCACACATACACCTAAAAAACGTCCAAAATAGCGCGACAAAGAATTCCTTATCTCATTAGTAATAAAGTAATCTCTTGGCGATAGCATACAACATTGTATCTCTCGCTGGCTGCTGGCTGAACGGAAAGGACAGCAAATTCGGCGCCGGGCTCAACGTGTTAATTAAATCTTTCTATTTTTTGATGACCACAATATAATAAGTTAATTTTAAACTTTTGTGTTGTTCACACATATTTAAATTCACAATTGAAACTTAAAAATCAGTTATGTAGGTACTAAATAATAAATAAGCTAAGAAATTTGAAAGGAAAAAAATATTATTATATCTATTATTATTTACATTTTGTATGTTATTTACACGTTATGGAATGGGCTTTAACCCTTAAATACCTGAAGTTTCAAATTTATAGGGGTTATAAATAGCATTGGGCGCCTACAATCGATTTTATTTTAATATTTGGCTGTTTACATGTTACCAAATGTTTTTTTCAAAATAAATATATAAAAATATTGTTTTGATTTTTTAACTATTTTCCCCCATTAGTAAACACAGTATAGGGTACACTTATATATTTTTTAATTAGATTTAAAAAATCAAGCTTTTAAGTGTTAATAACTGCGATACAGTCTCTAGTTGACTAATATAGTTATTATCGATCCTGAAAAGAAAACTGTAAATTAAGCTAAGGTTCCCTAACATTTTTAAATATTATTAATTAATTATTCTTAATCCTTTTATATATTATTACAGTATATAAATATTAATTAATAAAATTCCAATTAAAATAATTTTATTATAAATTCTTTGGTCTTTAAAATTATGGGCATATTGTATTGTACTAGAAATTTATAATATAAATCTATTTACTCAATACAAAACACCAGTCCCCCATTAGGTCCAAACTGCAGCTCCTCATCCTCCATGGCATCGTCGAGATGAATGAGCTCTCTGATGTCCACTAGGGGCTCATAGTCAAAGTGTTCTGCTGCCGGGTCCAAGTTCACGACTTCCACAATCCTTTTGCAGACAGCAGCATGCTTCACTATTGTTGAACAGTATGTGGACTGGAAATGTTTAAAAATTTTTTTTACATAACTTAGAATAGAAAACAAGTTGACGGGCCACCTGATGGAAAGTGGTAACCATCACCTATAGACGTGGACAGTACCATGAACATAATAGAGTATATTGTTTCGCTTATGATACCCCCATGCATTGCCATTCCTAAGGACTCAGGTGTTATTCCTTTGTACCCTGTAAATTCACGCCATATCCTACCCTTCAAACCGAAACACAGCCATGCAAACACAACTGCTTTACGGTTGAAACACGAATAAGACAGAGGTGACCAAGCAAATAACTCTTGTACAAAGTCTCCCTCTGGTAATATATGATAAATATATGAAACTGACACAGGCAGGGAATCTTAGTGGCTACCGATATCTCTAGTAATGTTAGAAATGGGAAAGTTGGCTTGTTACTTGTTGACGTCTCTACCATTTGTTATGAAACTTGTTATAGATATGGTATTAAGAGTGGATATTTTTCAACGAATGTATCCTCATTATCCAAATAGTTAATTTTTTTATTTATATGCACTTTTAAAATATAAACAAACCTATCAATATTATAAATGTGATATTTAATATGTTTGACAGTCAATATTATTGCATTTTTCTTTATCTAAACCAATAAACATTGATGTGTTGGAAAAATACAGGGCAATTTTTTTCTTTTCATAATACAGCTTTATTAGGTTCATTTTTGTGAAAATTCGAATAGTCAATATATGTATCACTAGCAAATGGAAGCTAGGGAGGTTTCCGAGGCCGGGTTTATTCTCTCTTCAGTTTTGATTTCAGCATATTTACGTTACAAAATATAATCGAAAGTAAAAAAATATAAATTAAATTATCCGTGCCTGGATAACTTTATTTTTTAATTAGAAAACGAGTATAACCGAGGTAGTTAGGCCCCTACTTGCCGTGGATGTTGGACTTGTATCCATGGTCCAGAAAAACACATAAGTTTTACGTTAATAAAAAAAAATATAAATTACCTTGCCACTTCCTGCCGGTCCCACGACCAGCTGTGCATATCGCATTTTATAACAGTTGTACGATTTCAAATGCTATCAGTATTTATAAGAAATAATAAGTATTATCATATGATTAGGTTACGAATTTATATGGAGGTTATAACACGACTTTCACAGATGCAAAACAATGTATATTACAAAATTATATTTATAAAGTCGATCGAAAGTCGATCAATGAACTGAATAATGATTTCACACCGTTCTGCGTTAATAATTTGTTTTGAATTGATGTAGAATGAAGATCGCTGTGATAATTTCGCAATTGTTTTGTTTTTTTTTTTTTTTTTTTTTTTTTGTTTTGTTCCGTTTGGAACAGGCTTGTCTAATTTGTCTGGAATTTTAACAATTGTTTTGTTTTTGTCAATACGTTAATGTCATCAAGATGTCAGTACAACAGATCAGTGTTGCCATTTTTGACGTTATTTCCCTAGTGATTTTAAAAATTAATCCTAAATTGGTTTATGAAGTATGTCAAAGTATTAAAATATTTTTTTCTAATATTGGTTATATCATTAAAAGGTAATTTAAATAATTTAATATTTTCTAAAGTGCGGTTAAGTACATTTCTCATATTCTTTAACGGAGAAATTTAATTTAGTGTTTTCGTACAATTATCAATAAATGCAACTCGTCAGTGCTTAAAAAGCTTCAACTTGAATCAGTGCGTAAAAATCCGTAATTATTTTTATTCTTTATTTATTATTTAGATTTAACCGAATTTTACTAATTGAAAGCTATTTGTTTCTCAAAGTGTCAATAATATTTTTTTTATTTATTTTCTTCTTATAAATTCTTTAAATATATTTGTACCAAAAAGTTCTGAACACGTTTATTAGCCTTAAAACAGGAGAATTTCTCTAATTAAGTATCATTGTAATTCACGTACTTGATATTTAACAACCATTAGATTTTTTTTTATTCGTAATGGCTACCTTGCACAGTCCATTACTGATACCTATCAGTAATGGAATGTGCAACTCACTCATTCCCTAATGTTTTTAGGGAATGAGTTCCTATTTTAATTTTATTTAATCAATACAGTAATTAATATAATGTGAAATAAGACAAAATACTTGTGAGCATATTTTTCCTACATCGAAAGTTATTTTTAGAATGTGTTTCCATTATTTTCTTGCTAGATAGGTATTTTTTGAATAATGATGTTTTGTTTTAAATTTCGTAAACAATTGAATTTTATTCCATTGTTTTGACAAATCATTGTGCATAAATTCCTAAAGCGGTAAAGATACACAAATAATAACTATGCGAGCTATTGGTATAGATCTAGGAACGAGTTATGTGTGGGAGTATGGCAGCGTGGTAATGTTGAGTTTATAGCCAACGACATGGGCAATCGGACGACACCATCATACGTTGCATTTACAGATACTGAGCGTCTCATTGGAGATGCGGCCAAGAATCAAGTTGCTCTTAACCCAAGTAACACCATATTTCATGTTAAACGCTTGATAGGCAGAAAGTTCGATGATCCCAAAATACAACAAGATATCAGGCACTGGCCATTCAAAGTCATTAATGATGGCGATAAACCAAAAATACAAGTCGAGTATAAAAGTAAAACGAAACGTTTTGCACCCGAGAAGATTAGCAGTATGATATTGAAAATGAAGGACATAAATGAAATATTAAATAGGAGGTTCGATTAAACAAGCTGTTATAACTGTGTCTGCTTATTTCAACGATTCTCAGAGGCGAGCGGCAAAAGATGCGGGGGCATATCAGGTTTGAATGTTTTACGTATCATTAATAAGCCTACCGCTGCTGTTTTGGCATATGGATTGGACAAAAATTTAAAACGCGAGAAGAATGTATTAATTTTCGACCTCGGCGGTAGAATCTTCGATGTCTCTATACTTACTGTAGATGAAGGCTCACTTTTTGAAGTTAAAACGACGGCTGTTGATACTCATCTTGGAGGCGAAGACTTCAATAACAGAATCGTGAATTTCTTGTCCGATGAATTTAAAAGGAAACATAAGAAAGAAATTAAGTCTAATTCTATAATCGTTGCGTCGTCTTCGCACTGCAGCAGAGCGCGCTAAACGTACATTATCCTCAAGTATTGAAGCTAGCATTGAAATTTATGCTTTGTATGACGGAATAGATTTTTTTTCACGTCTTTCCAGAGCGCGATTTGAGGAATTGAATGCTGACCTTTTCCATACTACATTAGAGCCTGTAGAAAAAGTACTCAAAGATGCCAAGCTCGAAAAGAATTGCATTCATGATATAGTTTTGGTTGGTGGATCGACTAAAATACCAAAGATTCAATGTTTACTGCAAAATTTCTTTAATGGTAAAAAGTTAAACTTTTCTATAAATCCCGATGAGGCTATAGTTTATGGGGCAGCGGTACAAGCGGCGATCGTTAACGGTGAGCGTCATTCAAAAATACAAGATCTATTGCTGGTTGAGGTGGCACCTCTCTCCTTGGGGATTCAAACGGCTGGTGGAGCTATGACCAAAATTGTAGAGCGAAATGCGAAGATACCATGCAAATATTCTCAGACTTTTACAACTTAATCCGATAATCAGCCTGCTGTCACTATACAAGTTTACGAAGAAGAAAGAGCTATGACGAAAGACAATATTTTGCTGGGTACATTTGATTTGACCGGTATACTACCAGCTCTTCGTGGAGTTCCACAAATTGATGTGACATTTGATTTAGATGCGAATGGAATAGTGAATGTTTCTGCTAAAGAAAACAGTACGGGTAAGTGCAAGAATATAGTCATAAAGAATGACAAGGGGAAGCTAACTTAGGTAGAAATCGAACGGATGTTATTTGATGCAGAGAAATACAAAGATGAAGATGATCGTCAGAAAGGATTGCATCACGGAACAAGCTTGAACGCTATGTGTATGGGATTAAGCAGTCCTTGGATGGTTGCAGTGGTAAAATAAGGGAACTAGAATATTCAAGGCTTCGGCGTACATGTGAAGATACCTTGCATTGGTTAGATGGTAATTCACTGGCAACTGTAGTTTTAGCATAACAGGAGCAAATGTATTTGCTCCTGTTATGAAGAAACTACATGGAGTGGGCAGCTCTAATTCCACACACAAAGCTGGTAACAGAGATGAAGCTCCCATTATTGAGGAAGTTGATTAAATTGTTATTTATTTTTTATTTAAAATACATTGTTGTTTTATTTTATTACCTTATCTTATCTGAGTTTATTCATCATCATCATATCAGCCTTAAACTATCCACTGCTGAACATAAGCCTCCCCCTTGAGAGTTTTTGCCTGTAGTTGCCACGCTTGGCAGGCGGATTGGCAGTTAGGCTTTGGAGATGTTTTAAGAGGGACGCTGCAGTTCATCCCTCGCCTTCCCTTAGTCGCCTCTTATGACACCCACGGGAAAGGAAGGGGTTGCCTATTCTGAGTTATAAATAGTATCAAAACTCAGGAATATTTGACTAAAGGCAACTTTCATTTGTTTTTAAGTGTATTGTACATTGTAGTACTTTTTATGATACTGTGTAAGTAGATTCTTACATTTATTATTTATACTTACGTTGTCCTTTTGAGCTATAGACGTAGTATCATTTTCGTGGATCTATCATATCTGACAACTTGCTTCGTCAATCTCTTTTAAATGTTTATTAGTTTTATATAGGATTTATCTTTAAAATGTATATCTTCACGCTATCATACATTACGGGATACGCACGCAGCGAACTGATTAACTGACAATGCGAACACTTATAAAATAAAACAAATATTTACTGATTAGCAATTTCTTTATTTTAATTTAATAACTTTAGAAATTGTTCGGAAAGAAGACAATGTTTCAGCATCGTTATTATTATGATATGAACAATAATAATTATCGCTATAATATTTAATACTATCCATTAATATCAATATCAGAGATAACGTACATCTACCATACTCGTCTATATATGTCTACTGGTAAATATTTACATATAAATAGTGCCTACACCAATATCAACGTAACAGTAAAATACAGATTGGGTAGGACGATTAAAATAAACGATCGCCACCAATAATTTGTACAGATTGCAAGCCATAGACAATCTTATATTGTCTTTGGGAATATAACAAATTTTAATATCACACAAATGATAATTTAGGGGGAAAAGGGATTGTTAGTAATGTGGAGCACTAGTTGCATTGCTAACCTTGTCAGGTTAAACTCTATGCGGTTTCCCCTGGAAACCATTGTGCTGAATTCCAGGTGTATTCATCACGATGGGTTAACTGACCTGCTTTTTCATTTTCACCTATTATCCGTCACTGGTGCCCCGCTTATGAAAAAAGTCCGAGTTTACACAGTACAACTAGTTTTTAAGAGCTATGTATTGAATTATTCTATGTAAAGCTCTAAAAATCTGGTTAATAGCTCCGTAAATATTTTTATCTGTCTGATAATCAATACACACATCAATAAAATGGAGATTTTCTAGTTTAAATACAGTGTACGATAGATGTACATGAATTGAATATCTGATTACGTCTATAAATAGAACCGTTATAAATGATATTAACATACCAAATGTGCTTTCAAAGAAGGAAGTTTATTATCCTGATTTGTTTATGTAATAGACGTAATGGTGAAAGGTGAAAACCCATGACGTGTTTTAATCTATACGTAATATATATATATTGAAAAACGATTAATATGTAAGCGTGAGTACGGGTAATGTCCGATTGCAACAAACCTATGTAACGGACAATCCAAGACGCAACAGGTGTTGACATATTATTTGGCAAAATACCCATCATTATTCTGTTATAGATTTATATAACGGTAAAACCCGATTTCTCACATTTCCACGGGACTTTCCAGCATCTTTCTTTTAAGTAGCATAATAGTAATGAATGTTTAATTTAAACAATAATGATTGACCTTGTTAGAAAAAAATATTCAATATTTTTTTTATTAATAAGAATAAAATATACATATATGAAGGTTTGCTATAAAAAAAAAAAGTATGTTGTTTATCTGATTTAGGTTCTATCTAAGGTCCTATTATATAAGTACACAACATTATAGGTATTGTTTAAATCCAGTATCCAGATTTTAAATCTATAAATATATAAATATATCATAAGTAGTATCATATTTGATCTTTCAATGTTTTTATTTAAAATTTATAATCAAGAACCTAATGGGGTTAATTCTGAAGCATCATTTCTTTAAAATCTTTCATCTTTCTTTGTAATATTTAAATTTTGATTCGTTGTCATAGGGAAATCTTTATTGTAATGACTAATATAAACTAATATTCTAATAGATTTAAATCAAAATTATTGTAAATTTGATTTGTGATTACTCATAAATCAAATTCGCGAAATTATCGAATTAAAATGTTAGGTTAAGTGATAGATTTAGAGAAACTTAGTCTGTGACCACAGAGAAGGTAACCACTATGTTATAAAATGGCTCAGTATTAGTACTATATTATATTATTACTTTCATTATCTATCGGTCAAAAACCTAGAAACATAGAAAAAGAAAAAATATTTTATCTATGCCTATATTCGTAGTTCCCTTGTAATTATGTTAGCGGAAACTCTAGTGTAATTGACCACATTTGATGTCATTGTTTAATTAAACACACATAAGTACGATGACATTTGGCAGATGTTACTAATTTTGACTTTAATAATATTAATACGATTAAAATGCTATAGGTTCACGGTTTTAACACCACATTAGAATGCGTGTCATTGTCCAGTAGACGTGTTACATCGATACGAGTCTACTTTTGTTTATTGCTTCCTCATCCGCCGATCAGGGGCCCAACTGGCCCACGTTTGACGATGCTAACTTTGGTTTTATTTCACTATCTATCACATTCACAATCTAAAAGTGGTATGTCTACTCGCATTTCGAGTTGTTCTTTTTTTTTTACAACAACTATTATAACTAACTAACTATACTATTCTTTATCTATGTTACAAACAATGTAACATAGATAAAGAATAGTAGAAAGTATAGATATTATTTGCCAGTACTCTTTTTATATATTTTGATTATTTTTGTTTCATTATTCAATAAGATGTTGATATTTATTTTTAATAGACGCGCGGAGTTTCTAATTGCAAACTGATTAATATTAGCTTTCATTGAAATAATTCGCCGTATCTATTAATTTATTGTATTTTTGACATTTTATAAAAGTAGATTTTTAAATATCCACTATGAATCAATAATAGATTCGGCTAAATGAAACTATATTATTTCCCGCCAAAAACTATTTTTGTTTGACCTCTGTTATTATTTCTTCTATAGATAATCTAATATTTCTCGTAATCATTCATTGAGCGAAAATAGCGCCTAAATGTTTTCTTCTCGTAATTCATTGTATGTATTTATATAATCTATGATAGATTATCGATACCTATCGGGGAAAATGTTTTTGGCGGGAAATTGCTAATTTGTTACAGTTGGTCGAATTTTTCGTTGTTTTTACGAGATATTGAAAAAATTGGATTGGAAACAATTTATAAATCTGTTATTTGTTAGATACGTAAAACTTAAGTAAGTTACCCACTAATGCTTTTTTAAATAAATATTTAAATAGATACCTACGTATTTAAACATCTGTACAAATTATTCGTGGCGAACATTCGAAATAATTAACAATATTATATTCATATAAGTACATAATATTCCCTCAAAAGCAAAAGCTATAAAATGATTAGATAATAAACATAATTTAAATGTTTTATTCAACGTTTAAAACTTTCCGTTATCCCTTTGTTTAAAAAGTTCGAAAATGAAGCTTCCGATAACTGTTAAACAGCCTAATTTTTTTTTTATAATAATATTGACTATTACACGCTATGTCTTATCTAACTTATTGTTTTATATATAACATCGATATGTATGAAGTTGGTATTTCTAAAACTGGATATAGATAGAGATTTCACTTTTTCGAGATTTAAAACTTTCAGACTGTCCATTTTTTTAATTGTGTTTTGAAAAATTTGGCGTCTAAACCTATATAAGATAATTAAATTTCGTTTACATTGTTTCTGATACATTTTAGAATGACAATAATTTTGATTATTCACGTTTTACCCTTTTAAGAAACTTGAATTTTGGGTCTATTCATCTACTTAACTATATATTAGTCGCTAGATCTGGCATTTCCCTTATTATGTACACTAACAACTGAATATAACTATATACACAATGATGCAAGGAGTACGGTTCCTCTCAATGTACATTATTACTTAATTCTCCTAAGAAAAAGGAAAATAAAGGTGAAACGATGAGAAAAAAATAATAAAAGAACTGAAAATAGATTAAAAGCAAATTTATTGCTAAAATAAAATAAAACTATAACCAAGCAATACATTATTTGCTTAATCGTAGACGTGTTTATAATTTGCTTCTAAATTTGTACGTTCTCTAAAAAATATATAAAAAAAAAAAAGAAAAAATGAGATGAGAAGACATAATTTAACGGAATACGAAATGATCGATGGAGTGAGCGTAATACGACATCACAAAGTTGAGCGGTCCCGCGACTTTTTATAAAATAGTCATAGAAAACATACAATAGTATAAAATAAACATTCATAATTTAATTGTAAAACTTATATAACCCAATTATAATAATATTTAAAACCTCTACGGTTCATATAACATAATAATACTTTTCAACTGGGCTCTGTATCATACCTTAAATTTACATCTGATTGCACTTTAAAATTTCATTAACAATTCAATGAACCTCACTATAGATAAGTTATCAGCAACATATCTTACACTTACGTGCGCTTTAACCTAACTATGTACACCGCCGTGGCCCACGGCTCACGGCTCACGCGGCTCACGGCTCATGCCACATCCCCACACATATTTGGTATATTTATTTACAATAATCCAATTAAAAATAAGCCGTAACTTAACAATACTCAGATATTTGTACCAGCGTACGTTTCCATTTACTATAGTAATAATAATAATAATAATAAAAAAAAAATTAAAGCAAAATGCATATTTTTGTATCGTAAGGTTTTCTCGTCCGACTCGCGGACGTATGCCTGGCATATCACGAGAACAATATAGGGTCTATTTACAGAGTCTTTGGCCTTACAATCGAATTATAACAAAACACATGTAACTACACATTAGTATTTGCACTGAACTCTTTCTACATGGGATGCAGTCGAACACGCCGGCCCATTCGATGGGCTCGCATACTTAACTAATAATAAATAACGTTCCAACGTGATATGGTATACCCGGAGAACACGAACCTGTTTCACACTGAACAGTTCACGGCACACACACTCTAATATTCCCATCGATCGTCCTCGGTCTCTGTTTTGATTTTGTCCTCTGGGAGGACGTCCTCTGGAGGTGTGTGGGAAGGGCGCGGTGTGTGCGGCGTGTGCGGTGTGTGAGGCGTGTGGGGCGTGTGCGGCGTGTGCGGCGTGTGCGGCGTGCGCGGCGGCGGCGACGCGGCCGGCGATGTGTCCCGCGCCACCGGCGCCGGCTCCACTCGCACAGTCTCCTCTGTTTCTCTCCTGAAGTCGTCGCTTCTCATCACGCACACGCCGTTGATGATCACCTCGTCGGGGTTCCGCGGCTTCTCGTCCTGCCAGTCGGGGTTAACCCACTGCGGCGCCGCCGGTTTCCGCCGACTCGACCGCCCGGCCGGCGTTGACGTCGCCTTCGGCTCAGTCTTAGATTCCCCGTCGTCGAGCGAGTCCTCTGAGCCGAGGTTGCTTTCGACATCGTCGTCCTCGAAGTCATCGCCTTCGGGCTCGCGTTTTAGAGGCATTGACAAGTCGAGACCGCCACTTTGGTCCTTCACTTGGTCGTCGGGCGGCACGAGTCCCCGGCTGATCAGAGCCGCGAGATTGGTATTTGCCGCAAAGTATGGCGGGTACGGTAAAGGTACTCCGGCGAGGCCCATTCGCTCTTTCTGCAGTTCGAGCAATCGCTGGTTGAGTAGCAATCTGAACTGTACCGGCTCGAAGGGCGCTGAAGACTGGTCGCGGGCCGGAGGCTCAGCAGGTAGTCCGTGGGGCGCTTGCTGCTTCAGCCGCATGCGATGGTTATGAAACCAATTCGTTATCGTTCTTGTCGATAAACCAAGTTCTCCCGCTAAGAATTCTATCGTAGGCATGTTTGGGTAAGGATCGAGAGCAAAAGCTAATCTTAGAGCTTCTTTCTGCTCTTCTGAGAATAGAACTCGTTGTTTCTTTGCGGAAGGCACGCCTGATGTTGGTCCCGGTGAACTTGAGTGGTAAAATTCGGACGTGTCATTGGAGGATGTATCAGACGAGTTATCTTGTCCGGGACCGCTCGACCGTCGCCGTTTGTTGGCTTCTCGTCTCTCATTCTTCAAGGCTTGTAAACGGTCTATATTGTGGGCGTCACTTAGCCACAGTTGCATTCGAATGAAGGGCTCCCGACCTTTAATACTGAGCATGTGCCAAGGTTTCGGTTTGGACAGGAGTTCACTGACCGATCCTTGTGATAAACCTAGTACAGCTTCGCCGAAAATCTTCTGCCCGATGTTATTTGCTAGTAACGCCTCTTTGATTTTTGTAGTAATTGTTTGCGTATCGAGATCTTGTGTTAGAGCTGCCATTTCGTATACACTGGGAGATATGTGTTGATGAAGATTGCGCATTACCGGCGGTTGGTGGTGGGGTTGAGGAGGAGGTGGAGGTTTTCTCTCCTTGTTGTTGTTATCGTGGTGTTGAGGCGGTATCGTCACAGCGTGGTGTGGCGGGAAGCCAGGGGGCGTGAGGAGCAAAGGAGTCGGCTGACCCAAGTGACCGAGATGTCCTGGCCCCAGGAGCTGTTCTTGTTGCATTTTGCTTAGTAAGGAGGTCGCGTCTGAGAGCATTTTTTGCGTAGGCGGCATCGGCTTATTCATGTTTGGCGGACATGCTGTGAACAAAAGAAAAATAAATGTTTACTTATGTAAAAAGTATTATTACATTTTATATGAATTTCTGTTTAATAATAAAGCTATTTAATTAAAAAGATACAGGTTTATACTAGTTTGAGTATAAATGCTTTATTTGAACTTGATGTCATATATTTTAGTGGAAACAGGATGTTGCAATAAAATGCTCAATTACTTGTAACGGTTCAATAATATAATATGATGAAATAAATAACATTATAAAATGACTTACGAGGTGCTCCGCTATAGTTTCCAGTCCTCATGAGCTTTTCTGGCGCAATTTTGTATTGTGACGCAACTAACTTATGGACAGCATTTTCATCTTCCAAGAACATCTTCATACGAATGAACGGTTCACGTCCCTTCTGTGTGAGCATATGCCATGGTTTCGGCCTCGCCAACAGATCGCTTACGGATCCCTGAGAAAGACCTAATACGGATTCGCCGAACAATCTTTGGCTGATGGAGTATTGACTAAGAGCTTCTTTCACTCTCCTTACAATGTCTTCTGTATTTAAATTATTAAAGAGATCGAATTGTTGTTGCGTAATTGGTGGAAGTACTGCTTTCATTGAGCGTTGTGGGGGCGCGTGATGAGTTGGATTCGTTGGCTGTGAAATAAGACTATTTGTAATCGACGCCATCCTCTGGAGAGGGCTCGCCGCCGCTGAACTACTAAAGTCCTCGTTAGGAGTTATCGCTGGTGGCAGTATTGCGTTCCCAAGCGGGCTGGACGCAGACGACCCTGTCGATTGTTGTCCAGGTTCTAACTTGGGCCTGACTAATGAGAAAGCGCTTCCTGCGTGCCTTATAGCCTCTTCAGCATCTATTGGCCTATCCTTATCACTATCAGTCATTCCATTCATTTTGGCATTTTTGTCTTTAGGTAGAGAGAGGTCTTGGACTGCTCCGGAGCCGTTCATGTGGTGGTTTTGAGCTTGTTGCATGACCTGCTGCTGTAGGGCGAGGAGGTTGGGGAACGGCGGCATCGCTGGCAAGTTGTGGAGGTTGGGAATGTTGCCACCGGGCTGGATTTTAGCCAGCTCTCTGTGGTAAGCTTCTAATGCCATGCGGATGTCCTCAGGCGGCCGCTCCATATGCGGTGGCATGCCGCCGCTGAAAAAAGGAGGAAACATGCTACACTTTAGTTTTTAGATTTGCTGTCCTCTTTTATATTATTAAGTTTTGTTTTGCGGGGAAGTCTAACATTATGTTTACCACAATTTAAAATTCCTCTTGATATAGATGGGATTATGGTTGTGACAATTATTGTCTACATTTTTTTTAAGTAGTCAGAGACTGTAGATAGAATGCCTGGATGAATATGTTGTTCACTGCAACTAAATGAGTCTGTGTTCACATTCAAGTTAGCATTATAAATTACTTCTTATTTTGTTCTCACACATACATCTTCTCATACATGATTGCCAGTTTAAGGTAATCATTTTAAGTAATCATCATCATCATCATTCCAGTCATCATCTCTGGGACTTTTCAATACAAATATAGGCCTTCATCTAAATATATGTTTTATTTTATTAGAAAATTATTACATTGTATATTATATAATTATTATAAGTAATTCTTATTGTTCTCACTTACCCCGGGAAACCTTCGCGGCTGTGGCGGACATCCTCCACCCGCCTGGTCATGATCTTGGCTAGCTCCTCCTGGTAGATGCGCGCCACCTTCTCCTGAGGAATGTCATCGTTCTCGTACTTTTTCAGTCTTTTGTTTTGACTCGAATCCTGAAAAAAGTAGTAGTCAATTTAGACACAGTTTTTATGGCGTCTTTATTTTCCGACTCTTACAACCTGGGAGCCTATCATGAAATAAAATTCCGAAGTTTCGAACTCAATTTCGTGTTTTCGTTTATACATAAATCGGCCCAGTAAATGGAGTTTAACATTTCGTTCGTCATAAATCCTGCCATAAAAGTCAAAAGGAATAATATTTCAATATTTTTAATGTTGTTAAACGGTAAGTATTATGTAATTTTAACATCAAATTTGTGTTTCGTTCGGCTCCGAAATTTCGGAAAACATTTCATGGCAGGCCCTCTGTTGTCTTTCAAGGCGACAGTTTACTAGATTACATTAGTCTGCGTATTTCTAGCCATAATATCAGTTAAGATCTTGGCCAAGCGCACACCAATTTTATAAGAATAAAATAATTATTCGACCTCTCAGGTATCACTGGGTCATGACGTTAATGAAATAAGTCGAAAATACAGTGTTATGGTCTGAGAGGCGGGATATGACAATGAAATTACTGAGTATGGAGGCATAAATAAGATCTTACGCTCTCATTATTCAAAAACCTTAAACGTCTCATAAACCTATTCTGGCTATTACATTCTGAATTTCAAAGAAAGTCAAAGTATTTTAATAGTTAAAATAGGAGGTTTAAATTTTCAACGAATATGTGCTTTAATCTTTTGGAATTCCTTCACGAAACTCAAAATCAAACCAAGGACCAAACGAAAATACAATACCTTATTAGAGAACGGCGAAGGGCACTGCGTCCTTGGAGAGCTGGAGTCTTCATTACTTCTAGAATCGTCGTTATTGGGCTGGCCCGGTGTCTTGGTGGAGTATGAGGCTTCATTCAACATGTGCATTAGTCGATCATCACCTTCTCCTTCCGGCCGACCGAAGCCGGGTCCGATTGTACCATCTTTTGTGCCGACTAGAAAAAAAAGCAAAATTATAATTTTTGAAATTTAGATTGAGGTTTTCCCTAGAGACTGATTAGGTTATTTAAGGGTTTACAATATGCGCGTGTTACCCCTGGTTTGGACACGCCTTTACCATCAGATGGGCCGTATGTAGTTTGTTTGTATAATAGTATCAAAAATATTTTAAATATTTTAAAAAATACAAGTGTAGGGAAACCATAAATATTATTTTTCAATATAAGCACTATTTTTTTTGTATGAGGATGCGGCCACTTAGTGCCATGAATTTTTGTGCTGCCTATTTTTTTTTAATTGTTACGGAGGCAAACGAACAGACGGTCCATCTGATGGAAAACGGCTACCGTCGCCCATAAACACCTGCAACACGAGAGGAGTTGCTTGTGCGTTACCCGCTAAAGAATTTTTTAATTATATGTATATGTTCTCAATAATTGTATGTAAATGAAAAGTACAGACATAAGAAGGTATGTAAAGTCATCCTTTAAGTCATTATTAAGTATCAAGTAAATGATTTAATCTCCACGCTTGTTATTATTATTGGTTATCAAGTAGTCGAATAAAATTTAATAACTATGAATTAATTTATATGCATTTAAATTAAACGTAATCTATCCAGTCATAATTATTCATAAACTAACTGACATACAGTTAGAGGTAGGTGTGCATAGTCAATATATCCAATCATAACTATAATTTCGCAATAGCGTTTAAACGCATAGGTACTTAAGTTTTAATTGCGTCTAAATTGCTCACAAACACAGACGCACGAATCACACAGTTTAAACTCTTGCCAAGTAATAAATACAGGAGTTATATTTGGTACAATTGAAATTAGGTGCATCATTAAAGCGCTACAGTGCAATGAATAGTGCTTTAAAGATAATCACTGAATGGGACCAGCCACTCATCGCCTAAGCCAGTAATCCTAAAACGGCGCACGCGCACCCATAAACAAGTGAAATTACGCGCGAAAACCGCCCGCCATATTGTGGTCATTCATCCTGTCAACATATTGTCTTTGGTCTCACAATGAAACCACTATTTAGATGCTGATATATGCAAAGCATTAGTTTAATTAAGACTCGTAATTAGCGGCCGTCTCCCGCTATGTGTTCGGAATAAACGCTCACACTGGTATGCACAAATATGCACATTGTGGAATCAAGTAACGTTAGACACTATTATTATAATATCAGGGAATATGTAAAGTTTTCTTTTTGCATGCACGTACTTATCTAAAGCAAACATTGTTGCCACTTGACTAATTTACTTTGTTTCTCAGAAATTGTAATATCTATAATGAATGTTTGATCGTATGATTTTTTATCAATTTCAGCGAAATTCGAATAATTAAGCTTAAAGCAAACAGTCGTGTCCTCTTTCTATCTTATCGGCGTAAGAACCTGCCTATCAGAGAAGTCGAGCGAAACGGCCGTATCATTCAGTCAAATTGTTTTATTTACTAATGACGCATCGGCGCAACGCCATTCGAGGTTTTTTGGAAAACAATATTTCATTCGTTCTGCGGTTTGTTTACAGCATCGAGGAAAGATCGAGCGCTTTCAGATGCAAACGTTATTGAGTTTATAATTATGCATTTTATCGCCTCCTCAAATGTTATTTTAAAACCGACAATATGTTCGTTAATTTCCCCCCGAAGTATTTCGTATTACTTGTTTATTTTATATTTTCACGAAACAACTCGAATTAACCCTTGATTAATTGACTGTAAAAAGAACAATATGGCGGCGGCGTTCCTGTTTTTCGAATTGTCTTTAAATTTATATATATATTTACAATGATTTTACGTTCAGTGTGGATAGAATGTTGGATTTATGAAGATATTCGTATGGTTCCTATGATGTTGTAAGAAGCGATTGAGAGAATGAAGCACAATATAGAGATACATCGCGAAATATATCAAGCAACCTGATCGGTGTAGTAGGCTAGAATGCTCCGTTTGAGAAGAGACTACTGTGTCCAGTAGTGGGACGTTTAATGGGTTGTTATGGCTTGGTAGATACAGGAGAGATTTCTATTTGTATTGAAAATGTCATGAGGTTAATGAAATTTTTATCTAAGCTAACGATTGACTTTTCCGTAGAATTGGAACGTTTCTCTCTAAACAAATAGGCTATATGCCTTTATAATTAATAATTCTTTTAATGTTTTAAAGGTAGTATATGCGCACATATATTTATACTTGTTAATGACAGTAAATTAACGTCCCGAGTTTTTTGATGACGTTGCAAAATGGGTGTCATTTTTAGATCATTTTGATTACAGTTTAAACAAGAATCAGTTGTTTTTTGTTTTCTTGTTTTTGTTTTTTTTTTTGTTTTAATAGACTAAGTTCTATAATGGAGCACTTGTTTAAACTTTCTCTGTACAATAGAAAATGATGTAAGATGTCAACAAATAGTGGCGTACAATATTCCCACGTTCCATTTGGCCCTCGAATCCGCGGGACATGCAAACAATATGTCCTTCTATAGAGTCGTACTTTGTATTTTTTGTGTGAAACCGCCATTCACAGACTCTTAACGACTTATGACTAAGCGAACGTGATCTAAATAAATTTATAAAATGACCGCCTCGCTCTTTTGATTATATCTCGTATGTCCATAATGTTCTTAGGTTGCAGCTCATAATAATAGTAGACAATAACTCTACATACGTGATTTGGTGGCATAATTGCCTTGTTTACTTTTTAATGTCTTGTTAAATTGGCACTTTATTTGGTCCGTCTTAATTTTATGTCAATTTCATTTAGACATATGCCCATAATACTTTCTTGTGTATGAGCAATTTAGGTCTAATTGCGTGTAAAGAGTTGAGTTACCTACTCGTGTACACTAAACCTGACAACCTCTATAACAGACAAATTTCGAAAAAAATTCAGAATTTAAAAATTATCATGTTATAATGTTACAATTGGCTTTGCTAAACCATCTTTCAAAAAAAACTTTCACGCTCATTTTTTTACTTTATCCGAGCAGTAAGTGCTTTATATTATTCTCAATTTCGTGTATAATATAGTATATGTCATATATGTGTAAGTATATTTGTTAGACATGTAATTTTAGTATGTATGTGTATCAATAATTAGTAGTACCGCATTCGAGTATTCTGACACTTCTCTATGGTTGACTGGGAGAGAATGCTTTTAGCATTAAGTCCGCCATGTACACATATTTGTACTAATGAATTAATAAATAAATAAATAAACCATGCACATAACAAAGATTATTCAATTTCTCATAACCAACTTTGGAATGTAGATCTTTAAGGAATATTTCTCTAGCTATCTTTAGTCTTCAGAACAGAATACAAAAATCCAAGAATTGTTGTTTTTACGGCAGAAATAGGTACCTGTGATGGTGCATAAAACTATAGTACCAGTAAAAAATATTGTAAGAGAACAAATTTTATTTTGACTAAACAACAAAGAAAGATATAAAATGTACATACTGTACGTACATAGTTAATATGTAATCGCTTTCTCTCTGTAATATTTTTTGTAATTGTTTGTATCTATAATAAGTTTACTACTGTAAGCTTTTGGAGGAAACAATAAAGAATACCTATTTCTCATAGTAAACAAACAAAAAACGGTCAGTAATTAAGTATAGAATAAGAATTAGAACTAAATAAGAGAATAACAAACCAGATAAACTTCAAATAGAAGAAGAATATGGAAAATAGATTTTAAATGCTGTTTTTTGTGTCACAAATCAAATGCGCTTACTTGTAGCAGGTTTATAAATAAAAAAAAAAATAGAGAAATAAAGAAAAAAGAGTTTATCTAAGTCCACATTTATAGAAAGATTGTAATTCAGATATTTGAAAATAAATACTCAAGCAGGACTTAAAGAACCAGACGCTCAAATCAACTAAACCATGCAAAAGTCCTTTTTAAAATACTTTTTTAAGCGCTACTCTTATGTTCCAACGGATGTGTTTGAAGTAACAACAGATAATATGAGTTTGTTTCGCCTCCAGTGTTTTATTTCGTTGTTTTATAACAACCAGTTAAATTTAATAAGTTCCTGATCAACAGAGATTAGAATGATCGTCGTGTACATGGCGCGGCGCACATCCATATCTAACCAATTATTTAGTTTATTTCAAATTCATTGTTCGACATACAAAACGTCAATAAATTTCAACATACGTCTATTAATGCCTTTGATCTTCTTGCAGACATTTTGTTATTCTGTATACATCACGCGGGCAATTACCGAGACGTGTCTCGAAATACTGTAAAAAAATTGAGGTTGTTTCCACTTGCCAGTGACGCAATGTGCGCCATTTTGAGACAAACGTCAAAGTCATCAACATGGCGGTGAGGTTCGAATTTCAAATTTGCAATTTTTAACAAGCACGCTATAGGTATAAAAGCCATATACTTTATACTGTTTCAGCTTAGGCTTAAAATACAGCCTAATAGGCCCCTATGAGTTACTGCTTTCTTATCTCAGCTCTCGATGGCTGTTAAAGCGATATGATCTCTTTTTATTGCTGCCATTACGATGTGCATTTTTGATGGATAGTTTAAAGTAAAAAACTACTTGGTCAATTAATGTCGTCCGGTCACGGAACGTGCGTATTTATCGGCCGGAGTTTGATTACAACGGGCCGAGGGACAAGGGGCGAACTTGTAAATTCGACTTCCATAATTCAGGGATAATATAAAAAGGAGAAATTATTTGTTTATGCGACATTATATCGCGTGCACGCACGCGAAAACTATTTCTTTGTAGCTGTTATTGATTGCTATTGCCGTATGAATATTCAAAGCCTTTGGAAAGTAAAGGGGGTGGGCCCTAAATTATCGTGTCACTGTGACATAGTAAAAAAATACTATTCGCTAGTAATTTGCTTCATACACTAGTGTGTGTACTAAATTCTAATAGGGAAGTGTGTATCCGCGATTGTAAATCAAGGTGGCGGGTAGTCGAAAGAAAGGGGTGAGAAATGTGCGCACTAT